ATTAGTTCAAATCAGAATCATAATACTAACTTTAACTGGATTCCAGGTGGATCTCAGCTTGCGGCTACTGTTTCCAAACTAGCTAATCCCCAGGACCTCTCTGAGCAGGAAACTCCCTAAATAGAAACAAAGTTCAGGGTCAAACTGCCCTCTAGTGGTGAAACATTGATATCTGTTTGGTGTCAGAAGCTCCAAGCTGCAGCATCCGTGCCTTCTTGATGAAGCTTCTACCACTATCTGAGGCCTTCCTGGGGCAACCAGGAAAAAAAAAAAAAATGACAGCCCTAAATAGGCAGGGTGGAGGATGAGGAGCAGGGACACAATAGAAAGCAATGTGTCTTTTGACGTTCTAGTTACTGTCTAATGTTTCAGAAGGAATGCAAGGGACAGTGTGGGTCAGTAATGTGGATTTTGAACAGTCTCTTGCAGTTCTGTCTACAATGGGTGGTAGCAAGCCTGTTCTGCTGAATTCAAACACAGATAAAACAATATATTATGCTGCTTAAAAATGTGCTGTCTTACCACTTATCATTGAAACCATGATTCTCATGTAGTTTGCCTTATATATTGTTTTATTAAATGCATGCCTACCAGTTCAAGAAAAAGAATGTTATTATAATACCTTAAAGGCCCTTGGTCCCCTTCCCTAATGGCATCAGAGGTCACCGCTACCTTGAATTTTGTCCTTGGAATCGTCCTGCTTTCCTTTAAGGTACATAAACATAAATGTATAGGCCTGCCCTGAACATACTCATCCCTGGTCAAGAACACATGGAAGCTGTGCACCACATAGCCAAACGTATAAAATTTGTAAATCAAGCTTTTACAAATCGTTAATGTTTTTGAAAAAAGTGTGTTTTGTCCTCCTGCATTGAAAAGCGAACCTTCCGAAAGTTGTGGAAAGCCAGAATCAAATAGCTCTGGCTACCAATGGGGTTGAGCATTTTTGCACCTTTATTGGCAGTTTCTTTACTGTGGAATGATTAAGTATTTTGTGATTTTCCTAATGGATTGCCTTGTTTCTTATTGATTCACAGAAGGGTGTTACATATTCCAGATGCCAATCCTTTGTCCAGTTACAAGGACTGCAAATGCCTGTTGTGAGGCTGCGCTTGCATTCTCAGAATTTTGGAATTACTTGGGTGAGCAGAAGGGCTAAACTTTAATACAGTGGAGTCTGAGTCTATTTACTAGCATTTTCTACATTAATAATGTACAAGTGTGAAACTGTGTCTGACACAGTTTATTGTAATTTTTATTTTTCTTTATATGAATTTTTTGTTTATTCTAAAAATATCCTTTTCTACCCTGAAGTCTTACTTTCCTAATGTCTTCAAAAAACATTTTAGATATTTGTCCTTCACCTAAGTTTTTAATCTACCTGGCATGGGTTTTTTTTTTACAATGGTGTTACTGAGATACAATTCGCATACTATAAAATCCCCCTTTTAGAGTACACAATCCAGTGTTTTAGTATATTCAGAGTTGTTCACCCCCAAATTCCAGAACATTTTTATCAACCCCCAAAAGAAATGCCACAGAATTTGACCTTCTTTTAAAAAAAATTATTTATTTTGAGAGGGGGAGAGAGAGAAACATCAATGTGACAGAGAAACATAGGTTGGTTGCCTCTCATACATGCCACAACCAGGACCGAACCTGAAACCCAGGCACGTGCCCTGCTGGGGATAGAACTGGCCAACTTCAGACTTTGCAGGATGACGCCCAAACGAATGGGCCACACTGGTCCGGGTGCCCCTTCACATTTTAAAGATCCTTTTCTGCTTCTTCCTTGCCAAGAGTTTCTTCATAAACGGATGTTGAATTTTATCAAATGCTTTTCCTGCATCAACTTAGATTATCATGATTCTCATTTTAATCTATTAATGTGACAAACTACATTACTTTAAAAAATTCAATCATGATCCAATAATTGTAATATACCATTCTCTTATGCTCTAAGGAGGAAAGAAAAAACAGCTGCTTACTGAATATTCCAATTTAAAATACAGTAAAGAATGCTCTGTCCATAAGATCTGCAAGCACCTCAAAGATGAGGTGGAAAGAGACTTTAAAAAAAAAATAGTAAGAAGTAAATAAGGCTAGAAAAACCTGGGCATGAAGGGGATGCGTGGATGACATAATGGGGCAACTAATCAGGGAATGTCTTTTTTTTTCTTTTTTGTGGTCAGTTTTTTGGGAGGTGTCATTGAGAAGGAAGTATTCCATATACCAGTACGAGGGCTTATGGGGGAGAAGCCTAAAGTTTGATCACATGAGAGGACATTTTTCCAGATGGTCTGTGGGGACAAATAGTTGAATTATTTATGAGACAAAGAGTGGGAATTTGGAGGGTCTGGATACGTAAACAAAGGAGTAATGCACAGATCTTATTTTAGTTATATAGGGCAAGGGGGTTCTTTGCCATAACCCATTTATTTTCTGGTTCCAGACCCCTCCTGGGGTTTCTTGGATGGGGTTTCTTAACTGAATGCTGTGTTTTTCCCTGAACACGGCATTCAAGTAAACTGTCAGTGGCCAGGTACCCAACAGGCAATGGACAGGGAGATGGGTTGGGGACTGTTTTACAAGTCACGCTACCACCTCTCTAGATTTAGCATGTCCTGAGTGGGAATACCCTCTCTGGCATTTGTGAGGGCGGTGAATTGCAAGTGTACAGGATGCCTATCCCAGTAATATATGCAAGGTAGAAGCCATGACTGCAGTGCACCAGGTTGGTCTCAAGGGCCCTAAGCCATATTAGGTCTATCTCCCTCCCTCCCAAGTTACTGTGCTCAGACCTCAAGTTTAATTCAGGTGCCCCTTCTCCCCAATGGACCAAGTATAACAGTCACTTAGATTTGTACATCAAATAAAACCATTAAGGTTTGCATCCCTGGTTTCCATGAGGTTTCCAAAATTCAAACAGGGTATAGGGCCTGAGGTCCTTTTGGAGGAGATAGGAGACAGCCCCACTTTTAAGGATTTTTCTCCTTAAAATCCTTGCAGGACATCTGGTCCAGTCCAAAAGGTTCACAGAGACATCTGGTCCACACCAGAAGGTCTTTGCTTCTGGATGTTTGAACAGGACAAAATATCAAGGCCCTTTTGGTGAGGACCAAATGTCTTCATGGGCATTTTGGACAGAACCAAATGTATGCTAATTCTCAAAACAATTTAGATCTGGGTAAACAAGAGTGGGGGGGGGGGAGATCAGGCCACGAAGGCAGGAGCATTCCATTTTCGGTCCTCCCAAATCTGTTTACTAGGCACGGGATTGTCATTGCCAGTATATCTGTTGCAGCTTTGAGACTCCCTAATCCAACAGACATGGCCATACAATGATGTCTAAGAGAAGCTGTTACATATAACCGTTATACATTTTGTTGTACAATCTTCATAAATACTTCAGAGTGCATATTGTCTTTTTTTCTACAATATCTTAAACTGAAGGGGTGGGGAAGGAGAAGGCAGTATCAAATATAAAAAGTCTCTTTCAGGTAGAAGTAGTATTTTAACAGTAGTCAACCCACCAGCTTAAGGTTACAACTTTTCCAACCCGTCTCTTGGGGCTAATTGTATTGAATAGGATTCAGTATTTTGCAAGTTACTTTCTTTTGTGGACCCTTATCTTTTAAAAACCTCATGCCAGTGTTAAAAAGTAAAATGCCTTTTAAGTGATATCAGAGAGAACAAGCCAAACATTTTAAATATCCATTAGTATAATAACATTTAACATAACTTTAAAAGTTAATGATTCTATAAATTATAGGAGTTAAAAAGTTCCTCTAAGCCAGGAGTGTCCAATCTTTTGGCATCTCTGAACCACACTGGTAGAAGAGTTGTCTTGGGCCACATATTAAATACACAAACACTAAGGAAAACTGATGAGCAAAAAAAAAAAAGGTTTTAAGTAAATTAACAATTTTGTGTTGGACTGCATTCATGGTCATCCTTGCCCCGTGCGGCCCACAGGCCGCAGGTTGGACACCCCTGCTTCTAAGCAGTATTAAGAATTGTGGAAGAGCTTAATTATGATGGGAATAACAGGCAATAGATCTCTGATTGTTGTTCTTGCTCTTTCTTAAACTCTGGGTAAGTAACAGATTGCAGAAAATGTAGCTCAGGATATCCTGAAAAATGTAGCCTTTGGAGATAGAACCAGTTACAATATGGAACACATTTTAACTCCTGCTTTCTAGTGGAGAAAAGAAGTGGATTCAAGGAGATCCAAGAGTGGGATGAATAATCATACTTGATAATGCTGACACAAATGCTCACAACATCAAACTAAGTGCAATAGAGAAAGTCATACTGAAGTGACTGATGTCATGGAAGTGTGTTCTGGTTAGATTACAGTGTAGCAATGAAGGTTGAGAAGTTAACAAAATTCGGAGACAGAATCTCAGATAAATAAAAAGAATGAGAAGGAACAGGTGACTCTGGAAATGTCCTTCACTACTGAAACTAAAGGGAAGAATGAAAAGAAGGTGGGAAAAATAGTTTGGAATGAAGAAAAATTCTCACAATAGCATGGAAATTCCATAGACAGGATTTCTTAGTAGAAAAAAGTATGGAGATGAACTAAAATGGATATAAAGTTCTGGAAAAAAGAGCAAAGTTTCCATAAAAGTGACCTAATCTCCTGTCCAACCACATTAATTCTCTTTGTGTCTTAAAAGCAACAGGGTTTCAGAAATTTCCTTGCTCAGGCTCCAAATTTCTACAACGTGACCTCTACAGAGGCAGAAGGACACCAGCCTAAGTTGAAACGTCCAGTATCTCTGCACTCACCACCTCTCCTCCGGCTCGAGAGATGTTTTGTAAAACAACTGTAGAAATATGAAGACCAGAGAAAAATAAAGACCAAAGTTATGTAATAACGGAATTTTATAGTACATTTGTTTAATCATATTATAACCATTAATGCAATAGCTGCCTCAATTTCATTCAGATAATAAAAAATGATGTTATAATGATGACTTAAAACTGGTTCAATCACAATTTTACAAGCTAATTTATCAAGAGTGAAAATAGAAGACTATTAAAAATAGCTAAAAAGATAATGTGTTATAGTACTTAATGTTTCTGTTCACTGTTGATAAGGCTCACATCTAAATTTGATGCAAAATTCTTAATGGCACTGAAAGAGTTCTTTTCTCAGCCACATGGTGTGTGTGGTACTAGGAGTCTGGAAGAGACTGGCTGTGGGTACCGCTTCTGGTCTTCAGCTGTGACTGTGCAATATCAGCAAGTGCACTCTGTATCTTTTCCAGAAGCATGTCCCCTCGATAAACAACATCTTCCAGACATGTAGCAGCCTCATGGTTTTCTTCTTCTAGCTTATATAAGCTGGCAGCCTTTATAAGACACAAATTTAAAGATCTTTTCAGAAATGAAAAACCTGGAGATTAGTAAGAGCTGAGAACAAACTGCAGAAGTCTTTAAATCAGGATGACTATGCAACCACTGTGATAGATCTTTCAGTGGCAAATATTCCAAAATCAGGGAACTATGAAAAGCTTTCCCGGTCTGAATACTTAAAAATGAATTTTCAACTAAAGATCTCTAATTTTCAATTAGAATTTTCCATATGTGACTCCCTTCCACACTGCTTTTGGACACTATTATCCTACTCTATATCTAGAATGCCACTTTCCTCTCATTTTTGCTAGGTAAAGAGTCAAAGTGATAAAAATAGGAAATGTCCATTTAACTTAAAATTGGGCGGCTACACACACAGGTTCCGTGCAGTCTTTAACAGACTACACTAATTCACAATGAATGAGATGCCCATTTTAATTTCCAACTTTAAAAATGATAACAAATGGTATTAAGTCTATCTCCTTTAATTCAAAATTCCCTATTAGCAAAGTACTCAAAGGAAAAGAGATTTTTACCTGTAGAGCAGCTGTAGATTCTTCACTTGGCAAGGAATCTATCAAAACATCAATGTCTTTTGCTGTTCGTGCAATGAGTGCTGCAAAAAGCTGGGCGTATTCTAGAGAAAGAGACTACTATTTTAGGGTATCAGGACTCAAGTTTTCAGAAACAGAAATGAAACATTAAGTGAAGGAAACTGGAAAACTTTATATAAGTTTTTCTATACTAGACTTCTAATGATTAAAGTATTATTTTGATACGTTGATCCTATCACACATTTGACAACTACTCTTGATAGTAACTTAAGTTGGGAATTAACCATAATATACATCACTTATTAGGTCAATATGGTGGTCACTTGAATAAAGAAATCTGTAAATGGAATGCCTTCTTTTTTAAGGTCCAAGAAGTAAAATTCAGTTAAATTCATACAAATTCTCCTCTAAAGGAGTAACAATCTGTTATTTGACACAAACAGAATTATGACATGTTATGTAGCAATATTCTCAAACAATAACATTTTTAGAAAGCCAAAAAAAAGCTGAGTTTCTCATTAAGTCTAATTTTAAAAATTACAAGTAATATGAGAGTCGAACTAAAAGAAGCCAAGAAAATGTATTCACCTTCTGTAGGATTAGCTGGCTGGTCTTTGTTAATCGTGGTCTGGATATTACTGAAGGAGGCAGGAGGGCCACACTGCTGCAGCACTCCAATGGCATTGCAAAACTGATCTGCAAGCTTGAGGGTGAGGAAAACATGTCAAAGGTAGAAAGGACTGATCAAATTGAAGGATTTTACTGGTAATGACAACAATATGTTTCTATAATAATGACCTCTGAGCAAGGGAATAAAACAAAAATATAATTTTTGTATAAAATTAGCCAGTTACTAACAGTAATTAAAGGTTTTAATCATGTAAAGAAATTAGGTTTGGTAGCAATCTTCTTGAAACAGTTAAAAAGAAATATAAAATAATCTTTCTTTTCTTACCAAGGTAACAGAATGGTAACAGAAATACAGGCTGATACTGATTGAAAGCACAAGTAAGGGTTTTTGGGGGGGAGTAGTGGGAAAGAGCAAATCTGACTGGCAAATATCTAAGTAAGGTTCCACAATAAATAAAACCTGTGCAATTCATATACAAAGTATCACTCCCTTTTTTGAGGCCAAGGTAGTTACAAATCTAAAGAAATAGTGGGGGTCCTGGCTGGTGTAGCTCAGTGGATTGAGCACGGGCCTGCGAACCAGACAACCGCGGTTCGATTCCCAGTCAGGGCACATGCCTGGGTTGCAGGCTGGTTCCCTGCAGGCCAGTTCCCAGCAGGGGACACACAAAAGGCAACCATACATTGATGTTGCTCTCCCTCTCTCCTTCCCTTCCCCTCTAAAGATAAATAAATAAAATCTCAAAAAAAAAAAATAGTGGGAAAAAATAGCACCTTAAGCATTTAGAAATGTTTTTCTTCGTAACGAAATTTGCAAACTCCTGGTGCTCTAAAAGTATTCCTTAAGCAGTTTTGAAGATTTAGAATACTAATTCCAATGGCAACAAGTTCACAACTACCAACAACTGAATCTAAAAAACAAACTAAGCAAACAACAAGAGCAGGAACAGAATCATAGACATGGAGATCATTTGGAGGGTTATCAGTGGGAAAGGGAAAAGGACAGGTTGGGGGAAAAGGTACAGGGAATAAGAAGCATAATTGGTAGGTACAAAATAGACAGAGGAATGTTGAGAATAGTACAGGAAATGGAGAAGCCAAAGAACTTACATGCACGACCCATAGATATGAACTAAAAGGGGGGGGCGTTGCTGGAGGGAATGGGGGTACCAGGTGGAGGGAGGCAAACGGGGAACTATAATAGCATAATCAATAAAATGTATTTTTTTAAAAATACTAATTCCTGCCTTGGCTGTTGTGGCTCAGTGGAATGAGTGCCAGCCTGCAAACCAAAGATCACCAGTTTAATTCCCAGTCAAGGCACATGCCTGGGTTACAGGCCAGTTCTGGGTGTGTGAGAGGCAGCTACACACTGATGTTTCTCTCCCTGTATTTCTCCCTCCCCCCCTCTCTAAAAATAAATAAATAAAATCTTTACTTAAAAAAAAGAAGTACTAATTCTTCACCAGCTCCAAATTTATACTCTCGGCCTCCCCATGAACTTCTATCAATAGTCCTGTACTCTCAAATCTCAATTCCTTATTTCCAATCAACGAATAAGCATTGCTACGAAACTTCTCTGCCCTTATCTGCATGACAGAACTCCAAGTCAACCGATTCCTTTGTTTAACATCTAATTTGTATTAAGATTCTCCTAGTTAACCACTACAACTTCAGACTTCTTTCCTTTCATCTTCAAATCCTGCAAAGCCTTTCCCTTTTTCTTCTATCATCAGTGCTGCTATGCTAGTTCAACCAATTATCTCACATCAGAAATTCTACAATAGCCTCCTTATTGCTTCTAGTTCACTATGTTATTTTACCTTGCTCAAAAATTTTGAGCTCACCCAGAATGGTTTCAGAATACAGTTCTAATTCTTCAGGCTGTTTCAAAGATTTCAATAATCTAAGTCAACCTACTTACTCATTTTTCTTCTCCTTGCTCCTTGGCATATATTTGGCTAGTGAAATTAATTCTCAAATACAATACTTTTGCTCACAATTTGCAAATGTAACGGAGCAGTAGTATGTTCTCAGAAGCTGTACACATGTGGATTCTAATTCTGGTTCTAGTAACTTGAGTAGGTTTTTTTTAAATTTTTATTTTTAAATTGGAAACATTCTCACAGTAGAGCAAAAAATATTCAACACAGTGGCTATCTGCTTTGTCCTTCAAAAGCTCTCAAGATCTATTTATTCAACAGATGTTTATTGAAAATCAACTTTGTGACATGTACTGTATATGTATAAACATTACAGAGATGTAGTTAACTAGACAGTTTCTGCCCTTCAATAGGCCTCAGAGGGTGAAACAAATGTTATCTTGGTGGGGTTATGAATACATTTAAAAAATAATATGCTTAACACCTTTGATGGACATATATACCTATATAAAGCCCATTATTAAAAATAATAAATATTTTAATAATTTTACAAGTACGATTCAGATAAATGCTAACAAGATCCCCTCTATTTTAGTTCCCATCACTCTATATTGCAATGTACTTCACTTACAGCTGAAAACACTTGATTCATTAGAACTCCCTAACCACATACTGCTTTTGCATTATTTAAATGTCTCTTGAGTATATGACATCTTTCTAATCAGACTGTAAACTCCTTAAGGAGTATCTCTCTGTAAACATGCTCGTGCTTATATACACAGTGGGCACTCATGCTAGTAAACACAGAGGCTTATCCTCTAAATTCAATCATCAGAATGCCTCCATAGAGTTAAGGCCATATTTACTTTGTTTTTACTCTCCTTCTGGTTACAAGACAAGTATGAATATGCAAACTTTCTCTAAAATAACATTTCCATCGGCAGCATCATTACAATTAGATTTTGTACAACCGCAACAGAGTATCTTCTGAGGGAGGTTAGCTGGCAGCCCAGGAACATCACCACAAGGCAGAATTTATCTTGGTGAATTCATCAACATTTAGGGGCTGGCCCTCTCCGCCTTAAAAGGTCTTATTTTATACACACAATGCGCAGATCAGTTTCTCACAAGCACATTGACACTCTACAAAAGTTGGTGCAATAACAAGAACGTCAACTTACTAATATCCAATGCGAAAAAACTGACAAGAGACCAGGTACTTAGATTTTCAGTCAGCATCATCTCTCTCTCTATGCATCTTATCTGGACATCAAATTATAAACAGAATGACGTTGAGAAGTAAAACTACCACCAAAACTATTTAACTCTTAATGGTAATAAGTACATGAATCCTATGGTTCATTAGTCCTTTAAGAAGACTTAAATAAATGGAAATATACGAGGATTAGAAAATTCATTACCATTAAGATGTCAGTTTTCCCCTGATGTACGCTGGGGCGTGGCCAGGAGAGGGAACGAGACCCTCGGTCTATAAGTACCAACTAAGATGAAACAAAACTTCTCATCCTACCATCACTACCGCCCCAACAGTAAAGTTTTGGCGAAGGATCCCCTCGGTTAACATTTAGTGACAAAGACCCAACCACCAAAAGCACAGGTTCTCCTTCGCGGGTGAACACTGACAAGGGGGGGAAGAAGCTTCTGCTGCCTCTCCCCTCCTTCCAAACAAGAAGAGATCGCCTAAGCATCACTGATGAAGTAATACTGTTACCCGAGACCAGGACGGGTCCAAGAGGCCGAGGAGAGGGCGCCTCCCCTTCCCGGGGAAGGCCGAGGGAAAAGGCTGCCCCCTCCCGCAGTTCTCCGCCCCGCCCGGCCGCCGGCCTCAAACCACCCAAGACGCCGCCGCCCCGGCCGCTTTTTGCTGAAGCCCTGGTTTTGATCGCTCCCCAATTTCGGGTTTCGTCTATCGAGCCCCTTTTCCTCCCTCGCTTTACCTCAGGAAAGAGAAAGAAAGAGACTAATCGAGTGAAATTGCGCACCGAGTTCACGGCGTCCTGCAGCTGCGTGAGCCGGTCCGCCATGTTTCTCCTGTAAGCGAAAGGTCCCTAAAGCAGCTGCTAGTACACGATTGGGCAGCTCTAAAACGCGTTGTGGCCAATCACAGGGCTGCGTTCTTGGAAGGGGTGGGGCCAAGCACAACCACACGCCCACAACGAGAGAGAGGACTTACCTGAGGCTTTATTAAGAGTAACTCCACCTGGGAGAAATCTCCGCTGGGGTTGAACAACTTGGGGACTGTGGGGTCCACTCGCTTTTGGAACTAATATAGTTCCAGGCTTCTAGGTATTAAACACTTTACAGAGATTAAGTTCTGCAGTTTTTAAACGTTAATGTCCACTACTCATTTATGTATTCATTTTTAAAAGATTTATTTTTAGAGAGGGGGGAGGGAGGAAGAGAGGGAGAGAAACATCGATGTGAGAGAGAATCATCCATTGGTTGCCTCTTGTCCCCATACCCAGATGAAGCCTGCAACCCAGGCCTGTGCCCTGACTGGAAATCCAACCAGCGACCTTTCACTGTGCTGAAGGATGCTCAACCAACTGAACCATAGGGGCCAGGGCTATGTATTCATTTTCACACACCTATTTAAATATTTATTTTACATTGCTTTTGCTTTCCAGTTGGACCACAAAACATACACAGCAAGCAACTCAAATATACTTGGGAGTCAAGATACCGACTTGAAACTCAACAAATACAAACTAAAAATCACCGATCAGAAAGGGCTGGGTTAAGGATGCTCCTGTTGCTTTTGGGTATGAAGGGCTTTATCCAAGTGAAAACTGGGTGAGTGCTTTAATTGTGAGTGTGGCTGTGCTGGGGAAGCTGACACAAACAAGTACCAAACTGAGCGGCATCGCCCTTGTTGGAAGTGGACAGAGAAGGAAGGTCTCCTTGGGCAAAGGTGAGAAGAGCATTTGGAGTTAAGAGATAAGATGTGTTAAGAGATAAGATGTGACCTGAGCATTTGCAGTAAAGAGATAAGATGTGGAGTGTAAGCAGCTAATAATCGTCTCTAGTTTGTGTGACGGTGAGAAAAATGTGTGAGGGTTAGCAGAGAGGAGAGTGGAGGCTTACAGTGTGTAGTTGGAAGAGAGGCTCCTGGAAAATAAGGGACATGTATAGGAAGTGCAGGTTCAGTTTTTTAAGAGATAAGCTGTGCAGTTTAGACTTAGAGTTAGGATCTGTTGAGAGTTTGAGTGTGAAGAGTGATAGTATGAACTTGGTATTAAGAAAAGTTAGTCTGGGGATAGGGAAAGAAAACTCCCTGGAAACAGCCAATGGTGGATTTGTGGACTTGAAACAGACTTAGTACTCTCTCAGTCAGATGATCCCTGATTACCTACTGGGATAGGAGGAAGGTGAGGGAAACTATCCATGAGGAATTTAGCTTGTTGGATTTACCCCAACCCTAACTGGGAAGCTCCACTTCTGCTTCTCCTCCACTCCCATTCCCAAATAATATACATACCTCTGGGGCTTAATTAGGCATCTGCCCCATAATATGGCAATAATGAGAGGTAACTCTAATTTGTTTTATCTGTATTTGGGGGTAATCCGTGATGTTCTCCTCCCACCCCCAGCTGAGAGTGTACCTTATTTATTGAATGCCTGCCATGTGCCAGGAAGTATGATGAGTGCTAGGTTTGCAAAGACCAATAAGCCAGAGACTCACTAAGAATATTTTACAGTTATCTAAGAGTGAGCTGGGCCTAGACTAGACATTGACCCTGAAAAGAGAAGATAAGCTATTTTTGAAAGAAAATTAACATGGATTGGTGACTGGTTTGATACAGGAGGATGAATGAGGAAACCCACTGAAGGAGAATACTAAGTTTTGTAACCTGATTGAAGAGAACTGGGGTACCTGGGGTAGAGGAGCCACTTCAAGTTTGTTATGTTATGTTATGTTATGTTATGACACAGCCTTTGTTCTGTCATTCATTATCTTCTGTACAGATTTTCAGTAGCTCCACAGGGACCTCTGGTTGATGTCCAGCCATCTGTGCCTGGTTTTCCAGGTTCACTGTCATCTTGGCTGAAATACTAAAAATAAGTGTTTGCTTTTATTGTTTGCTTATTTACTTAGACTCCTTGCAATTCCCTAAACATGTTCTGCTGTTTCACACTTCTATGCATACTATATAAAATACATATGATTCTCTCTTCTTTATAAGAAACGCCCACACTTCTATTGATACCTCCATCTTGTTCCTTTGTTAATTGGTTACTCAGCTTTCATACTACATTTTATATATGTATGTATGTATGTATTTACTTTTAAAAGGGATAGGGAGGAAATAACAAAGGGAGAGAAACATCAGTGTGTGGTTGGCTCTTGCATGCTCCTTACTGAGGACCTGGCCCCAAACCCAGCAACCCAGGCACGTGCCCTAGACTGGGAATGGGAACTGGTGACCTTTTGGTTCTCAGGCCAGCACTGAGTCCACTGAGCCACAACAGCCAGGGCTCAAACTTTATTTTAAATATCTTCTTCTTTATAAAACTTTTCCTGAAACTCTAGTTAATTGCTTCCAATCTTTATCACAACTGTTTCTTATACATCTATTATTGCACTTAGCATATAATTATTCATACATTACTCAAATTCACTCAGTACCATGAGATACTTAAGAGCAGGTAACATATTTTAATTGTTTCCACATTTCCCATACCTAGCACCAAGCTTTTAGCCTGGCACATAGAAACCTCTGAATGCATATTTTGGACTGAATGAATAGATTTCCTAACATAACAACTTCTATATAACAGTGACTAAATAAATACTTACTGAATTTAATAAAAACAGTCAAAGTAATGTATGTTGCTATCCACAAGAAGAACATGAGTTTAAAAATACAGAGCGAAGGTGACATGAGAGTGGAAATGAAAAGTTTCAAAGGTCTTTTCATTAAATGGGCAAGTTTCACAACGGTCTTTTTCTGCCTTTTCACTGAATCCCTGCCAGCATCTCCATCAAGATGTCTTGAGCCTGCCTCCCTTCCTTCTTTCCTTCCTCCTGCTCTTCCTTCCTCCCTTCTCTAAACCTTAAGTAGACTTTAAGGCTCTAGTTATCTACAGGGTCTGGCACAAATAGCACCTCTTTTTTATTACAAAACCTTTTATTACAAAATCATAAACATGTAATTCTGTAACATAACAGTATCACACCAAAGCATACCATAAAGACATTTTAGGTGAAATGTTCAAATTAAAACTATAAATTATTGCACCCATATTATTACCCTACCAACCACACTCAAGCAAGCGTTACTTCTGTAGGACCCTGTATCTCTTAAGATTGGAGAATTATGTCAGTTTTTGTGTTTCCTCTCAATTCATAGGAATAACAAAGTCATCTGCAAAGCTGTTGAGTCCATTTGCTCCAGTCTCCACTGGAAGTCTTATATGAGCAAGGGACCTTAGCCAATCATCCTCACAAGCTGTCACAGTATTTCAGAACCAAGATAATGAGACCGTCTTATTATTTTTGTGACATATCTGTCATCAGCTGTCCTCTGCAGGCATGAGAAACTACAATGCAAAGGGATGGAGGGGAGAGAATGAGGTTAGTTCAGGGAGTTGAAATTAATTGAGTGTGCAGCATAGAAGAGTTTGAGTTTAGTTGCAGCAAGAAACTGGACACATGGATAGGAGCTATATCATGAAAGCATTATGTATCATAGGAAAATGGACTTTTATCCTTGATGTTTCTATGGGAAAACCTTTAAAACTATACATATTTTCTCAAAAATTATATTTTCTTGTTCAAAAGCAATGTTCAAAGGAAATTTTCACAAAGTGCAGACATATGCAAATAAAGTTTCTTTTTTTCCCCCCCAATGTATGGTTGCTTCTGGTGCATCCCCTGCTTGGAACTGGCTTGCAACCCAGGCATGTGCCCTGATGGGGAATGGAACCATGATCTTTTGGTTCGCAGGCCCATGCTCAATCCACTGAGCTACACCAGCCAAGACTCAAAATAAAGTTTCTTAATCCAATCACCTTCATGATTTTAAAGATTCTAATTCTTTTCCAAGTTTTCCTTCTATGAATATAACATAAATGCATATTTAAAAGAGAACAAAGCTTATACTATAAATATTTATTGCTTTATAACTTGCTTTTTGGTAAAAACTTCTGAATCAATCACTTCACTTAAAAACATGACTTTTGAAGGGCTACACAGTATTTTTTTTATATGCCTATATCTCAGGTTATTTAATTCCTTATTGTTGGTCATTTATGTTGTTTTTTTTGTATTGCAAATAACATCTTGAACAGTTTTTTACACTAATTTCATACATCTATCTAATTTTTGTTAGGCACATGACATACTTAAATCTAAAAGCAGAATCATACCAAAGCTATGATGTAAATTATGCCATGAAAAACTGTTTCAATTTCACCCCCAACTGGTATTATCTTACCCTACTTCTCAGCTCTTTCATCCACATTGAATGTTCATATTCTTTTTAAATGTTTACAACTTACTTTCTTAATTTGATTTTTTGTTACTAGTGAGTTTGAACTTTTTCATGTTTTTATTGGCCACTTATGTTTCCTTTTTTGTTTGTGTGCGAAATTCCCTATTTGTGCCCTTGGCAAATTTTTATTTTTTGTCATCAGACTGACTTTTCACATAGTTTAAGGGTTTTTAAATTTCATGAAATTTATTTATTTACTTATCCTCGCCCAAGGCCATTTTTTCACTAATTGCTTTCAGAGAGAGAAAGGAAGGGAGAAAGACCCTTGTGGATTGGAGAGAGAAGCATCGATTGGTTGCCTCCTATATTCACTTGGACCAGGGATCAAACCTGCAACCTAGATGTGGGAATCCCACCCACAGCCTTTTGGTTACAGGACAATGCTCCAACCAACTGAACCACACGGGCCAAGACGAAATTTAACATTTTAAATAGCCAGACCTACCGATCTTTTCCTTCATGGTTTCCTTCTCTGCTTTTTTGTTCACCAAGTTCCTCCCCTGAGCCCTTCTAATCACTTCCAGTTTGGCACTGCCAGATTCCAATGGATTTTTGTTCTAACAAATTCTCAAAATTAAAAAAAAAAACTTAGATCAGTTGTTTGTTTTTTAATAAAAGAAACAAACATCTTGTAGCTGTTATGGTTTTTATTCACTACTTTGGGATTGCATTTTGACAGTGTAAGAATTTTAATCCTCCCCAATATGAGAACTTGCTTTATCGAATAAAGCATCACTGATTCGAATGCTACCCTTATCATAATTGCCCCTGTTACCTTCCTGATATTTCCTCCACTGAGAGTGACAGGAATGGGGGCATGCGGGAGAGTGAATAAACTCATAGGAATAGATGATGCTACCAAAGGTGTGAACATTTGGATCGGACAGGAGGACAGGGAGAGTTGTGCCTGTTAACAGATAGTGATTGCCATAGATTTTTAGCTTAATGGTAGATTGACCGGATACTGTATGTAATTTTCAAGGCAGCTCATTAAAATATATAAATGAAAAATTTAAATAGCAGGAAAAGGAAAGCAGAGCAACTTCCCCACGTAACATTCGTCTAATTCCACAATCATCTCACGGGGCCATGTGTCCCACGGGCTACTGTCCTTCAAACAGCAGCACTCGGGTATGAGAGCTGAGAGAGGAAGTTCAGAGTAAGGTCTTGAGTCTTCGAGGATATTTTGCTTAGAGAAAACGGAACCTTAAAAACTAAAAACTAAAAATAAACGTAGTGCTCACCCCGGCGCAGTGACCAGAGAGAAACAGCATACCCCCGTGTTCTCGTGCTAACATTCCCCACGCCTGCGCCCCGAAGGCAATTGCTGCAGCGGAAACCGTTATTCTTGCGTCTGGAGCACCAGATCCTCGTTGTATTTTCTTTTTGCAACGGACCGTTAATCTCAGGAACAGGGAGCCTAGAAATTTAGTCCGCAACAGCGTTATTTTTACTTTAACGGTGGCTTTCGTAAATGGGAAAGATCAAAAAGGGAGAAGTACAGGTTACACCATAGAACTTCCTGGGTCTCCTGCAAGCTCGGCGCGAGACGCGGGGACGCCGCCTGCCAGGAGCCCACCGGCGCCGCGAGGGGGCGCTCGCCGCGCGGAGACTTCGCTCGGTCCGTGCCTGCGGGGCCTCAGGGCGGTGACGTAAAGGGGGCGGAGCGGCAGGCGGTAGTTGTGGAGAGCGACAAACCTCCGTAGGTTCGGCGGGGAGTGTGGCGGAGGTTGCTGGCCAGCCCTGCGGACCTGGCTGGTGCGAGGTGCGAGTCCTTGGCCGGCGATGGCGCCGAGCGCGAGCGCCCCGGGGTAGCGAGGGCGAGGCTGCGTGGCCCCGAGCGCGCCGTAGTCCTACCCTGGCGTCGGCTCCGCCGAACTTGTGCAGCTATGGGGCTCCTTCGGCTGGTGGCGCTGGCGGCGCTGACCTCGCAACCCGGGGTGGCTGGTGGAGCCGAGACCGTCGGGAACTCCAGCGTGGGTAAGGTCGGGGTGGCCCTGTTTCTGCAACCCGAGCTGCTTTTGCATTTCTTGCACAGTCGAAATCCACCTGAGGGTCTATCCGCTTAGTGGGAGAGGTCCAGAGTTCAGAGCCAGCAGGAACGGATCAGGGTCCTTTCCTGCAGAAGGCAATCCCCTTTGCTAAGGAGGCCTCCTAATTTAGGCTGTGGAAATGGGAAGAGATACGTAACTCTCTTTCCCTTAGAGAACAGCCATGTTTGTGGGTTTAATTTAACACTTGAAAGCACTTCTTTGATCCAAAGGGCTGTATTTGAGCCTGTGGACTGTGGTGAGGCTTGGTGCAAAAGCGAGGGCTTTACGATTGACCGTCCTCCCGACTGCAGCAGGTTTTTACACTCCAAAATCTAGATGCTTTTCTAGTTGGTAAGCTCGACAGAGTTTGAGAGGAAAAGTGAGCTGATTGGTCTTTAGATTGTAGGTCATGTGCTTGGCGAATGATGGGTTTTAGCCGTAATGCGTGGTTTGTTAATATATAAATTGTGAAAAGCACTAATTGTGCTGGGCTGATGATCATGTGCTTTTCCCTTGAGATTAAGCACATTCTTAGTGTTGTTTTGAGCTTAAGAGACTAGTTACGGTTCTGAAACATACTGTTTTCTGAATAATGTGATTTTGTTCCTAAATATGTATCTTTCAAAAGTTCTTATGCAAATTGAGTTCTGGAATCTTTGCATAGGACTTAAGGCCAAAGATGAAAAGGGAAGTGGTATTTTTACAGAAGAAATAGCCTCTTTTATCATAGGGCACTTTCATTGCATGCAGAATGTGTCAGGTGTTGTTCATGGAACTGTTATTTAATCCTCACGGGGCAGAGGATGAAGTTCAGGCCCAAGGTGATGATGCTCACTACCTAAGCAAACAGCTAATAGGGGCACCAGCGGTGTTTGAACCCCAGTAAGTCTTGCTGCCAATTTCATGGTCTTTCCAGTGGGTTATCAAAGCTGCCTCCAATATTTAACTTAGTATGGTGCTTTACACTCAGTTCTTCTGTGAGTTCTCATTTCTCACAATAGCCTTATGATGGAGGTAGAAGAGATGATGCTTCTCCATTTTAACAGGTGAAGAATTAGATTGAGTTTGTAGTTGACCCAGGTTAGACCCTGAGTCAGGAGGGCTGCAACCCATAACTTTTCATCTCTAGGTCTGTGCATTAGTATTTTTATACAAAAGTTGAGAAATGTGAGCATTTGAGAGGTTAATATTTTTTCAGATGCTATTTCTTACCTCTTTTTTCTGACTTCAGCCTTGATATTTCATCTACCATGTTATTCTTTTTCCTTGTGTTAGTGTTGTTGCTCTGTGCAGAAGGACATGTGGGAACTTGACTGCTGAGTGATGATAAAGCTGATGTTCTCCACATTTGTCAGATAAAAATCAGTATAGAAATTAAAAAGACTTAGTTCAGTTCAAGACTTGTATTCTCCTGCTGGGAAGTGGCTAGATTTCTGTTTATGAATTCTAATAACTAGGCAAACCGAATAAATTAAGTAGCTGCTGTAATTTAGGAGGACCTACCCATCTTTAGCAGGACAAGCTCACTTACACCACTTGAGTAGTGGCTTGAAAGCCAAATGAGTTTTTGAAGGGGGCAGACGGAGTTCCTAGAATGAAGAAGATGCTTTCTGTGACCAGCAGGGCAGAAAAGAAGCAACACACATTTAAACAGTTTACCCTTACCTTGAAGTTCCAGTTCTCTGCTGCCTTTGACCTCTTTTGTTACTGTTTGTTTCAAATCCATTAACTCACATGAAGTTACATAGTAGTTGGAGTTGTGCAGAATGTCATTTGAACCTTCCAATACTTGTGCTATTGATAGTGCTGTAAGTAAGGGAGCAGGCCATTTGCGTAGTTAGTTGCTAGTGATCCTTTTTTCTTGAAAGTATGTGAAGTGGTATGTACCCTTTTGTGTTTCCTTTCAGCTTTCAGGACTAATGAAACTTCATAAGATATAAATGAGCAATATGGAGGGGCAATTGAATGCTAACCAGTTCCAGTAGCTAAATGAACTGCTTCTATTTTTAATATTTCATCTGAAGAGAATAATAAAGACTCAACTTTCACAGATCTCTCCTAGAATTTGGTTGTTGCATGAAAACACAAAGAATGGAGGTAAATTTTGGTAAAATGGCAAAAAGGAAGAGTTGAAAAATTTAAGTTTGCAAATTTAGGATTTGATAGGGAAAGAAAAGGTAGTAGGCGGTTGGGGAGAAAAATGGACTGGATAGCAATGAGGAAGAGTATGAAAAATAGAAGAGTCCCCCTGTTGTGGATCAGATGGCAAAAAATTTTTTTACCCAAGAAACAGAGGACTGCTTTCTAGAGGAGAGATACAGTATAAAGGCTCCATCTCCGTGTTAGTCGTCTGTTCTGTGACATCGCTTGATGCAGTTTTCCTCCCACTCCCGAAGTTGGAAGATCTAATTATGCCTCATAACGTGTTTCTGACGGATCCCTTTCCAGATGGCTTAGAGGTGAAGGAGGTTCCTCTTGACTTCTGCAGGATATATTTTGGTTGTATGCCTTTATTTGCCATGCGTGCTTTTATGAGTAGAAATTAGATGCAGATTCTGCTAGACTGTACTTTTAGGGTTCTCTTGACTTTCAGTATTTTTCCTTGTCTCTCTAAGGGAGTCTCTTCAACCTGATGCTGATGATGGGTGTGCCGTGAGCACTTACACCTGTTGGTCCTCTTCTTCCCACTAGTTTATTTGTAGGACCCTACTGAATGTCTGACTTTTTTTTTTACATAAGATGAGCGAGCCTCTGAAGCACTAGAAAGCTAATGGAGGTTAATACTATTTTATTGGGCGGTATTGGACAGTTTACAAAGTTTTCCCCCTTTGATATTTTCAGCAGCCAAGGGATATATGTAGCACAGTTACCTCCATTTTATTGTACCGTGAGGGAACTCAGGCCCTGAGAAAAGAAATTACTTCCCTGAGGTCACAGAATTGAACTGTCATTTCCTCAACATTTACTGTGCACCAGCTAGGCAACCAGCAATGTACTAGGTTTTGGAATGTCAAACATGACACAGCCCTGTATAGCCAGGAGTCAAACCATAACTGATTTTGTTAATATGCAACCTTCTATAAAAATTGTGAAATGGCCCTGGCTGTTGTGGCTCAGCGGGTTGAATGCCAGCCTGCAAACCAAAGGGTTGCTGGTTTGACTCCCAGTCAGGGCACATGTCCGGGTTGCTGGCCAGGTCCCCCGTGGGGGGCATGTGAGAGGCAACTGCACATTGATGTTTCTGTCCCTCTCTTTCTCCCTCCCTTCCCCTCTAAAAATAAGTAAATAAAATCTCTTTTTTTTAATTGTGTAATGGCTTTCAGACTATGCAGAGGTAACAGTGCCAAAGGATTTTCATGCAGAAGTTAGGTTAAAGATGACAGAATAGGGGAAACAATTACTTATCCTTCCCTAGCTCATCAAATGTTGAATTAGGTGTTCTCAACCGCGGCTGAACATTAGAAGTCAGCTGGAGAACTTTTAAAGAACGCATATTGGTGAAGAGATAACTAGAAATTTACATGTAAAAGAAAAAGTAAGTTGCCTGGTCAGTGTGGCTCAGTTGGTTGGAGTACCATCCTGTTCACCAAAAGGTCGGGGGTTTGACTTCCAGTCAAGGCACATACCTAGGCTGTGGGTTCAGTCCACTGTTGGGGTGTAGACAGAAGGCAAATGGTCAGTGTTCCTCTCTCACATCAGTGGTTCTCTCTTTTTCTTCCTCTCTCTCTAAAATCAATAAACATATTTAAAAATATTAAAAAGAAAAGGTAAATTTACAGTAGCATCAAGAAAGATGAAATATTTAGGGTTAATTATAATGGGATATGGTGAGAACCAGGGACAGAGTGAGTGAGTTCGACACAACCAGAAGTGAAGGCGCGTGCACAGATGGGAAGGGCCTGGGTGAGGTGCTGGGACATTATTGTTATAACTTCTCTTTTATGTGGACTCTGAACTTGATCCTTAAACTAACAAAAAGCTCTATTTGTCCAGCATACCTGTGGTTCATGACTATATGTGCAGTATCTGGCATGAGCATTCAAATGACATTTTTGCCAGTGTTGATGGCACCTTCTTTTGTAAGCTAGGTAATATAGTCCCATTTGACAGATGAAGAAATTGAGGTTCAAGGGAGTTAAGAAATGTGCCTAAGATCACACCTAGTAAATGGTGGGATAAAACTGAAGCCAAATCTGTGTCTCCAGGATGACTTCAGCATTCATTAGATTGTACTGTTCTTTCATTCCAGTGCATTCACAATCGTTAGTAGTAGCTCCTCATGGCTGTTAGTTCTTAAATTCAAGGACTCTGTTCAGAATAGAATTGTTAGAGTTGCTACCAGACCAGGAATTTTTCTTGGCTCTGGGAGCCAGGGACCTTGAACATCTTCATCCACTTTAAGTATTGTTTGCATCTTTGGAAATACCTTTTTACCACTTTAGTTCTTAGTTCTCTACTCATTAGCCAATTCACCCTGGTGGTCTGCTTCGCCTCTTTAAGATTGTCCTCATCAGTGAAATAGGAGCAGTAATAATATTTATCTCAACTGGTTTTTCTTTCTGATCATTAAATTAGTAGTGTGCATGTTCACATATGTGATTTCTACAAATTGACATTAGCTGTGCATATATTACAATGAAACATTTCTCTCATTTTAGGTATTACTGAGTTTTCTGTGGGGAAATTTAGGTACTTCAAGCTCAGCAACCCCTTTCCAGAAGAAGCTGTTTTGCGTAATATTTCCAGCAATGTGACTTTTCTTATTTTCCAAATACATTCACAGTATCAGAATACAACAATTTCTTTTTCCAAGGTGAGTACAAAAAGGATTATTTCTGTGCAAACTTTTCCATGTTTGGGGGCCGTGCATTTTAGCATAAGCATTAGAATTTGATGCTTCTTTCTGTTTAACTTATATCTTACATTTTTTAAAAATTAAGTTTGATTTCTTTTAAGTTAGTGATTCAGACTGGCTAAGAGGTAGCATCTCAGGCCTTATCTGAGTGTGGTGGTGACATGCGGCGTAAAGGGAGGTGACGGGAGTGCCCGTTCCGGGTGGGGGACGAGCTGTGTCACATGTTTCCTGTCTGAATGTAGTTAGAGCTTTTCTCATGATTTCCCACTTTTTATTACTTTACCAGGTCCTTAATGATTTTTATGTGAGAATACATTTTAATGAATTTTCATTTTTGTTCAGCCATTCGGTGTGAAGTTTACTAAGACCTGTACATTTAATAAGACCCTTTAGGGTCAACTTTATTCTTTGGCGTCTCATGGGAACAAAAGAATCCTAACACGGGTTCATCTTGTCCAGTGGCGGGCTTCTGGCAGCATGTAGGACTCATACAGAAGTCATCGCTAACCCCCAACCTCAACCTCAGACCTGGGAAGTTTTCAGATGCCTTGGATTAGCCTAAGTTATTAAAAACTTGCCATTTAGTTTACCCTTTTACGAATCTATTTCTGTTTGGCCTATATGACCCATTAGACAAATAAATTCCACTCTGTATGATGGTGTATTTCTTTTTATTCATCCTAAGCCTATCTTCTAATAATTGTCTGGAATTTGCTAAACAAAGCTCTCTTAGTCCAATTCACATATATTTTATAGGTATTGGTCATATTATCTTCCAAACTAAGTATTCTGTATTTTTTTTATTAGGACATACTGCTCCTGTCATAAAGGGTTTGAAAGTGTATACATTTTGTGGTAGTTTAATAGATGAGAAATGGAAGTGTTCAATCAAGGAAAACAGGAAGGAATCAATTGTTAATTGCAAGAGATAACAGCATCTATGACCCATACAGAAACTAAAACATGTTAAATTTCATAACTTTCTTAGAGGAAAACCATGCCAGTTACTCGGGAAAAGACAAGTTTTTCCCTGGGACTGTATTCAAAAGGAAACTTCCTACTCAGGCCCTTACATAGGAGACATAATAAAATGGCACATACATAATTTCCTTCTTAAGAACATGACAGCACAGACAACATTTGAAGGAAGAGAAAGGGTAGAGGAAAAAAAGCATTTAAATTTATTGCATACCTACATGTACTAGGCTGGTGGTTCTTAGCTCCTGGGGCCGTAGACTTTGAATCCACTGAAATCTATGGACTCTCTCTGGCAAAATGTGTAGGTACATCTGTATGATTGATTTCATGGAGACCTCTGGAAACTCTCTGGGCCTCTGAGGCTTCTAGTTAGAAACCCCAGTGTCTGTCTGGTTTGCCATATAATTCATTTAATTCTCACAGCTGCTCAACAAAGTAGTTACAATGCCTGTTTTTACCTCTGAGGAAACAGAGCTTGAATAAAGAGATGTCAACATACCTAATGTGACAAAAGGCTTGGGTGAACAACACCTTGGGCCTCAATTTTCATGCAGAAGGAGTCTTAGTTATCTTTAATTATCATACTGTTTCTTCATTGTGCTGCTTTCCTTAGTTCTCACTGTGTCTCTGCTACCAAGATGATAAGCAGGACTGCTGTAGCTCTAGCAGTGGGTGGGTCTGTGTGAAGAGAACTGTTTCTGTTTCCTGTGCCCTTCCTGATAACTGTGGCCCTTTGGATTTTTAGGGTCATCGTGGTTGGATCATTGGAACTGTTTGCCCTATAATTTGTCAATTAGTATTTGGGTCATTCTCCCTTATGCTTGTCAAATTGAAACCCATCTGTTGCTTATGGAAAACGCAATCTGCAAGGCATTCTGCACTTACAGGAAAACCTGTCAAGGAAACATTTGCCAGTCACAATCCTCCAGCTCAGTTTTAGCTAAAAATAGGACCTGCTAGTGTTTTACGAACTTCCTGACCTCCTGGCCCATCGTGCCCTGTCTCTGCATTGCTGTTTTTAATGTTCTGTGGAGCTCGGTCTTGCCCTGAATCCCTCAGGAACAGTATTCCGCAGCCTATGAGTCATTGCACCCCCCAGTCCATGGGGCGTTTTCTCCTGAATAAAGGACATCAGACTCATTATGGAATTCTTTGTGTTTCAACAGTAGTCTTAATACCTGACATAGTAAATCTTAATTTTGGGAACTGAAAAGCTTGGAAATTTTATCGCATCTGATCAAACAACATGTATTTTTAACAGTTCCTTCATGTGTCTGTGTGGACACATTCACGTAGAGGTGAAAAAATTATTTAATTTTCTAAAGGTCTGTTTTTATTCCTTTTGCTTTGAGAAAATTTGGGATAGGACACGCATCCTAGATCAGCTCTGGAATTTACATACTTTGCTCAACTCCCTATTCATAAGGACTCTTTTCTCCCTTATTGCAGACTTTCCTTCCCAGTACCTCGGCAAAAGGCACTGACAAAGGGCTGGTTTTCATTCTTAGACCAGAGCAGAGTATGTGCTTTTGGTATATGGAGGCTTTAGACGCTGAACCTGTCCAAAATGTGGCCGTCCCACTCTCCTACTCAGAAAGAGGTAACCTTTGTCTTTGACTCCCATTGCTGTCCAGAATATGGGACTTGTTCACGAAAATTTAGGGAAAGCTGTAATCTTATTAACAGTTTATTGTAAACACAATACCGTTCATCAGGAAGGTTTTAATAGCAAGGGAGCCAGAGAATTAGCACGATGATTGAAAGCACAGGTAGGGACTAGAATACATTTATTCATTCAAAAAACATGGTTGGCCAGGATGGGAATAAAAGGCAGAAAACTGTACTTGAACAACAATTAAATTTTTTAAAAAGGGGTTATATATAAATACTGTGTCCAACAACTATAAAAATTTACCACATTTTAGCCAGTTTCAAAGTGCAGAAACCATACAAAATATATTTTCTAAACATAGTCTAATTAAGCAAAATCAATAATAAAAATTAGAAAATCCCCTCCCCCCCAAAAACATTTACGGAGCGCTAGGGAAAACAGTAACAAAAACACGAGACGTAGCCCGGAACACTTGAGAGGGTTGTTTTAGGCAGAGGAAGGCCCTAAAGAAAAATGGAGTACTTGGAGAATGGCAAATAGTGGTTGTTTCATAGTGTCTCCCACATGCCAGGCACTGTTTCTGGGGGATGCTCACTGCCAAGGAATGAGCATAAGGCCAAGGAGTAGTTAGGAAAGTAAGAGAAGAGGCAGGCGGTTTTGCCTGAAGTAAGGAATGGTAAACAGTACATTGCAGAGAGGTCAGAGGAAGTGACTGACAGTGTCCATTTCAAAGTGCAGTCAGTGGTGGCCTTTAAGGAGAGTCATTTTAGTGCTTCGATGGGGATGAAAACTAGGTTACGGTGATTGAAGAGCTAAGATGAGGCCAGGGTTTAGACTGCCCTGAAAGTTTGATGATAACGAGGAGAGGGAGCAGTAGCTAGTAAAGGAAGAAGAATCTAAAAGGTGACCAGAATCAAAGAAAGGCAGTATTATCTGTAACAAAAGGGTAACTCCCTGATCAAAAACCATGGATTTCAAGCCTCCACGAAGGACAGTGTACGCAGAAAAATGATGAACAATGGAACTTCAATTAAAATACATATCCTTTTCTCCCATATGGTAAATACTCATAAATGGAGTGATGTTCAAACACGTGCACGGGGTGTCTCCATTCCAAGTCTTGCACAGAGTCAGCCACCAGAATTCCTTAGTTTAAGGAAAGTAGGACCTAACTGTGGGAATGATTGGATGAGTCTGTGTAGTTGAGATCTTATCAGTCCTTAACTTGGTTTACTTTGAGTTCTCTCTTATCTCAGGCTCTCCACTTGAGTCCACGGTATACAGTTCTTTGTATGGAGTCGAGCTCATCGCAAATGACTGACTTAAGTTTTGTCTTGCTTAAAGGTCATGAATAGGAGTTCTAGTAAGAAGAGCTGTTTTAGCCATATTATTAATAAAATGAAATACCCACAATTTATGTTGTGTTTAATTATGCATTTAAATACTGTATTGATACATGGTTTTGGAGGTGTTTTGAGATCTTTTACTCTTTTATATACACACAAAGACTTTTCCAGAACTGAGGATGACACTGTCCTCCTCCCTGTTGAAAGAAGCATGTAAAAAGTGGACAGCCCCTTCTCCATTTCTCAGGAGTCCCTTTTTCTTTGACAGTGTTTTTTTTCTCTCCATTCCTGGGTTCTTACACTCTCTTTTGTGGGGTCATAGACCCCCAAATCTAATAAAAACCTATCTAGGAAATGCACACATTCAACATGCAATTTCAGGGCATTCGTGGAGGCCCTGAAACCCATTCTTGGATCTCAGCTTAATAATTTTGTCCCTTCTGACCATTTCAACTCCAGAGCAGAATTTGGCAAACCACAAACTGAGCCAGATCCAGCTCACTGACTGTTCGTAAAGTCTTACTGGAGCACAGCCATGCCTATTTGCTTATGTGTTGTCTCCAGTCATTCTCATGCTCATGAGGGTAGAGTCCAGTAGTTGCCACAGAGACCAGCAGGCCCGAGAAGCTTAAAATAGGCACTGTCTGACCCTTAAGGGAGAAAAGGTTTACTGACTCATGTTCTGGTGCCCTTAACCTCAGTTCATTAGGTTGTATAAAACTAGCAGCTCTGTAATTAACTTTTATATGCAAAGTTCTTGTAAAAGTAGAGTTCAGTTTTCTCAGTATAATTCGAATATATGAAAATTCTTTGTTGAGTGACTTTCTTGTTTTTTATCCAGATCCTGTGCCTGGAGGCTGTAATTTGGAATTTGACTTAGATATTGATCCCAACATTTACCTGGAGTATGATTTCTTCGAAACAACCATCAAATTTGCCCCAGCAAACCTAGGCTATGCGAGGTATGTCTGTCTCTTAAAATTACTTTTAGAACATTCATGACTAGCTCTTCTATAGATTCAGTGAACTCTCTCAGAATTCATTATTCTATTTAGTAAAATTTAATTGTTTAATTTTTTGAATGAAAGTAATTCTTACGTTATAACTAATACTGGAGCTGTCATTTATAGTTAATGTTGCCTCTCCAACCATATGAAGAGCCAAATGTTAAGTCTCTACTACAGACTTACAAATACATCTTAGTGTCTGTAAGGAGTTTAATCATTTTTAAGTATATTTTATTGATTACGCTGTTACCGTTGTACCAATTTTTCCCCCTTTGCCCCCCCGCCACCCAGTAACCCCCCCCCCCCGTTCCTCCAGCAATTCCCTCCCCCTTAACTCACGTCCATGGGTCATGCATATAAGTTCCTTGGCTTCTCCATTTCCTATACTATTCTAACATCCTCTTGTCTATTTTTTACTTAACAATTTTGCTTCTTAATCCCTGCACCCTTTCCACCATGCTCTCCTTCCTCCCTCCCAGTTGATAACCCTCCAGATGATTTCCTATCTATGATTCTGTTACTGTTCTGGTTGTTTGCTTAGGGTTTTTTTGTTTTGTTTTGTTTTGTTTGATTCAGTTGTTGATAGTTGTGAGTTTATTGTCATTTTAATGTTCATAGTTTTGGTCATTTTCTTTTTTTTTTTGAAGTAAGTCCCATGAACATTTCTTGTAATAATGGTTAAGTGATGATGGCTTTACCTTGTCTGGGAAGCACTTTACCTTCCCTTCCATTCTAAATCATAGCTTTGCTGGATGGAGTAATCTAGGTTGCAGGTCGTTGCTTTTCATCACTTTGAATACATCTTGCCAGTTGCTTCTTGCCTGCAAAGTTTCTTTTGAGAAATCAGCTGATAGTCTGTGGGAACTCCATTGTAGGTAACTCTCTCCTTTTCTCTTGCTGCTTTTAAGATTCTCTCTTTATCTTTAACCTTTGGCATTTTAATTATGATGTCTTGGTGTGTGCCTCTTTGGGTCCAACTTGTTTGGGACTCTGTGCTTCCTGGACTTGTGATTTGCCAAATTAGGGAAGTTTTCTTTCACTGTTTTTTGAAGTAAGTTTTCAATTTCTTGCTCTTCCTCTTCTCCTCCTGGTAGCCCCTATGATTTGGATGTGGGCACCTTTGGAGATGTCCCCAGAGGCTTCTTGTACCATCCTCATTTTTTAAAATTCTTGATTTTTTTTTTCTGTTCTGGTTGAATGCATATTTCTTCCTTATGTTCCAAATCATTGATTTGAACCCTGGGTTCGTTCCCCTCACTGTTGGTTCCCTGTGGATTTTTCTTTATTTCACTTAGTGTAACCTTCATTTCTGCCTGGGCCTTTTTTATGCTGTGGCCATGAGTTCTCTGAGCATCTTCATCACCAGTATTTTGAACTCTGCATCTGATAGGTTGGATATCTCCACTTCATTTAGTTCTTTTTGGGGCTTTTGTTCCATTCTTTCATTTGGGCCATTTTTTTGTTATTGTTTCTTAAATTTGGCAGCCTCCCTGAGTTTGTTTCTGTGAATTAGGTAGAGCTGCTTTGATTCCCTGGCTTAGCACACCTGTTAAGTTATAGGAGGCAGAGCCTTAGGTATTCGCCAGAGTGGGACAATCCACTTCACACTTCTGTGGCTCTGTGGGGGGGAGGGCTCAGAGAGAGGACAGTGCCACTGCCTGGCTTCTGGAGCTTTGCCCAGCATTTGTCCCATTTCATCACTTCACCCACTTCCCATATGTGACTGGTGCCCTTCCTGCTGTTGCTCTGGTGGTGAATCCCATGGTCTCAAGTATATATTTCATATATTTCAAGTCCATGTGGGCCCTTTAAATGGACTCTCCTGAAAAACTGGCAGTTTCTTCTGTCACCACCACTGGTTTTTACAGCCAGAAGTTATGGGGCTTTATCTTACAGGCGCTGGAACCCTGGGCTGTGCAGTCTGGCCTGGGGCTGGGACCACTTGCTCCCAGGGTATCCCTCCCGATTTTCATCCACCACCTGTGAATGTGGGCGTGCCCATTCCACCACTTCTGCTGCCTCTCTGCTCCAACTTCACATCCCACCCCTCTTCCTCATCAGGATGAATGTGGCTTCTTTAAATCCTTGGTTGTCGAACCTCCATACAGTTTGGTTTTATAATAGTTCTTTCCGGGTGTCATTTGTTTTGAGGTTTAGTTGTCATTCTCCTTGTGGTTGCACAAGGAGGTAAAGCATGTCTACCTGTGCCTCCATCTTGACTAGAAGCCCTGTGAAGAGTTTTAAATACAGAAAGCATTTTGGAGCCATGAAACCCACTTTTTTTGGTAAGGATTTTATTATTTTAATTAAAACTCTGCTTTAGTTTTCACTTTAATAATGGTAGCTGCCATTCGAGCAATAGTTGAATGGCCTCTGTGCATCACCCACAGTGCTGAGTGCTCTATGTCGTCATTTAATTCTAAAAATTGTAGTAAGTGGCAGTTGTTCTTATTTTACAGAGTGGCTCCCTAAGAGTCATTAAGATTAAGTGACTTGCCTACTTACAGTTAACAAATGGCAGAGCTGGCACTTGACTCTAGACCTGACTGCTGACGTTGACGTCTGGTTATTTCGCCATACTGCCTGTCAGCAAGTCGTCATTCTTCAGAATGCCAAAACTGGATCTGTTGTTCCAGGAGTTTGAAATTTGAGCTTTTGGTTCCTTTTATAAATGGTCATCCCCCACAAGGGGTTCATGTTCAATTTTGTTGCTTGACTTTAGAGGCACAGAATCTCCGCCATGTGACATCAGGACGGGACAGGACACTAGGTGGAGATTGCAGTATGACGTCTATCAGTATTTTCTGCCTGAGAATGACCTCACCGAGGAGGCGTTGCTGACGCATCTGCAGAGGATGGCCGAAGTGCCTCACGTGACAGCAAACGCTATTAAGGTAAACAGTCCGATTCTCTTGATTTGAGGGGCCGGATCACAACACCTTTGTGTGAGTCTGAGTCCAGGAGAAGTTACCAGGAGCTTATTATTTTACTCTTCGCATGGTCTTTCTGGGATTTTCACTTTATCCTCTTTATTTTGTTACCATCTTGGGAGGCTTTGCCAGTGATACCTCAAAGTAATGTTGGCCTTTTAAGGAGATGCATGGAAATTATGTTACATTTTAGTTGCAGCCACATACATGCCCTGGTAATTCTGGTACATGGATGGGAGTGGGTGGTAATTTTCTATGTACTCCTATACCTATTAGATTAAAACTTTTGGCAAATATAAAGGTTATAGCATTGTGAGGAAAAAAAACTATTTGAGGATGTACTTGTTGGCTCGGCATTACTATTTAAGCCCAAACTCCAAGTCTCTAACTTGGAGAAAAAATTTCCCTGAGCTTTTGGACCTCCATTCTTGCTACTCCACGCATGAGGCATGGACCAGAAGGATTGGCATCACCTGGGAGTTTCTTAGCATTGCAGACTCTTGGGTTTCACTCCACAGTGAAAAAAGACTGCCACAGTCGTAATTTGCATTTTACAAGACCCCCCATGTGATTGCTGTGCACATTAAAATTTCAGGTTCAGGGCAGGATTTTATGTCTTAAAAGGTGCTTGATAGCAGTTTAATATACGAGGTCATTCCTAGTCTCACGGTTGATGGATAGTGTTTTTTTAGACTACTCTGATTCTCCCTGGAAGGTTGAGAGATTGCCAGATTATACAGAAAGAAGTAATTGAAACAGGGTTTGTGTGGTTAGCCTAGGAGGTCAGTCTACTGTGGAACAAGATCTCATTTTGTTGCTTTGTTGCCTGGGATGTCTTTGCCCCGTGCTGAGAGGGAGCCTTGGATGAGAAAACTGATTGTGCTTAGTCACAAATTGGGAAAAGTGTATAGTTTACCTTTTAAACTAAAAAGTTTTGAAGACCATGTTTATTCTTACAAAGAATACAAGAACTCACAGAACAGGGCCTTCTTAGGTTACTTTTTAACTTTTAGTTAAGAGAATATTGTGTGCCAGAATTCAAGGAAGCTCCCAGTGAGTGATTGGTGAGGACAGGTCGGAAAGACTCTGGAACCTGTTTGAGGAGGCTCACACTTGCCAGCTTTGGGACAATTCACTGGACAAAAAGCAAATGATTAATTATAGTCTTGAATTAATGAAAACAAGTTTGTACTGATAGAAAAAGAAAAAAAAAAGCTTGCTACCCTTGGAAGAGATTCTTAGACCAAATAATTCTTAAAATTTATATAGGGAAGGAGCAACTATAATTCATTCTCAGTTTATGAGAGAAAGCTCAGAATATTGCCAACTAGTAAGTGTAGAAGGAATAGAAAATCAGTATTTTGTGACCCTCAATGAAATAATTCAGGCAAGGGTCATTAGGTGTAAGATTGTCGAGGGACAGGTTATTGCCACCATGCCTAATTGGCACCTGCAGATTGCCCTGGCCAGTGGGGCTCAGTTGCTTGGGCGTTGTCTCGCGAAGTGAAAGGTCGTGAGTTCCATTCCTGGTCAGGGCACGTGCCTGGATTGTGCGTTCTGTCCCCAGTCAGACCTTGTACAAGAGGCAGCTGATTGATGGTTCTCTCCCTCTCTTCCACCCCCAGTCTCATCCTATGTGTAAAGGGAAAACAGTTTTTAGAGTGGAATGATCTGATTGTTTCCTCTTTACCCACGTGGTCAGCATAGCTTCACTGACGGCGGGTCCACCTGCACCGTGTGCTCACACGAATGCAGGCTGACCTCTCACCATTACCATCACCTGTGGAACAGTCTAACAAAACGTGTTTAACCCGGATTCATTCCTTGGAGTTCCTGTTTACAGGAACCAGTGGGGGGTAAAAGTACAAGTGGCACACCATGAGCACAATCTGAAAAACGCAGATTGTGGGCTACTCTACAGAGTGCCCTTAATCTCTGCAAAAGTCATTGGGTGAGTGGGAGTGGGGTAGTGGGAAGGACTTCTGGATTACAGAGATGAGTGCTGTGCATGAAACTTGGCTGCATCTTGGGTAAAGGGGAGAAAAGCTATAAAAATGTTTGTAAAAAATCTGAATAGGGACCTTGTGTCACGTAAGAAATGATTAGTTTTCATAGGAGAGCTAAGGTATCATGGGCATGTAGGTGAATATACTTCATATATCATGTTGTGCTACTCAAATGGTGGTAGAGGAATTGGTGGCATAGCATTGGTATCACCAGAGAAATTGGTAGAAGAGCAGAAAGTCAGGTGCCTCCTCTGACCAACAGATTCAGAATCTGAATTTTAACAAACTGTCCATGATTCCTGGGCACGTTAATTTTGAGAAACGCTGCTTTACGACATGCATGCTGAGGTATAATATTTAGAAGGGGAAGGTCATGGTATCTGTAACTTACTTTGAAACGGTTCAGCAGGAAAAAATAGAGGGGAGGAGGAGGAGGAGGGAGGGATAGAATAGCAAATATGGCAAAACAGTAACAGTGGTTAAATCTAAGTGGTGGTGTGTAGTTTATTCATTGTATTGTTATTTCACTATTTCTGTAAGGGAAGTTGCATAATAATAATCCAGATGTGATGTATTGTTGGTGCAAAAACTTGAGTGAATAGGAGGTACATTTTGTTGAACTTGACCAAATACTTTGCCCAGGAAACATTTATGAAGACTAAACAATATTTTTAAACAGTGGAAGTCCTCTAAGAGTCTCTCAATTGTTTATTCCAGAAAACATAATGTTTAATTTTCTCACTTATATTATTAGGAACATAACTATGTATTATGATTACATGTGGTTTTTGTTTCTTCTGTTACACGTATTACCTATTTAAAAAATGACCTTTAAAAAGGAATTTTTGAAGTGAAGGAATACAACTACATGTACTGTTTTCTTATTTCAGGGCCTGTTAAACAAAAATAAGTGGGTGCCGTCTGTGAGGTATTAACACACTCTGTCAGCTCTGTGACTAGTAGTATGGCTGACATTTGTTGAGCACTTACCTCGTGCTGGGCATTGTGCTAAGTGCTGAGGGAAGGCTAGTGAGCAAGATAAATATGGTTCCCGCCCCTCTTGCTGTTCATAATCTAGCCGATGAGAAAAAATTATTTTTTGCTTTGTTCTAACTAGCCTGTACATGGAGTTTAGATCTCATTTTACTTAGTTACTAACATTTAACACTATGCAAAGCTTTGGAAACATTTGGGTAAGAGCTCGTTTATAGTGGTGCATACAAACTGTGTAGAATGCAAAATAGGTTGGTGTATATTTTAAACAAGAATTATATTTTAATTTTAAAATTTAATGATCACATGTAAGTAGATGATAACAGAACAGCCTTTTTAAAAAAAAGTCTAAACACTAATCATGCACTATTTTGGCTTCAGGTGGTTACTCTGACAGCTAATGATAAGACAAGTGTTTCCTTCTCCTCCCTCCGGGGACAAGGCGTCATTTATAATGTCATTGTTTGGGACCCGGTTCTCAATACGTCTGCTGCGTATGTTCCTGCTCACACATATGCTTGCAGCTTTGAGGCGATGGAGGGCAGTTGTTCTTCTCTTGGTGAGTATTGGATTTAAACGTGCCAAGTTCTTCTTTGGCTTTGCAGATCTCTATCTTAAGAATATTAAGAGGTGCTTTTGTATAGTATTCATTCCCTCATTCATTCATTCATTCCTTCTACAAATGCCGTCGAAGCCCTTACACTACCTCACTCTCCGCTCTCAGCACTGGGGCATAGCAATTAATAAAACAGACAAAATACTTGCCATCCTGGAGCTTATGTTTTAGTGGGGGAGATAAGATAGACGGGGAAATTTGTGACATAACACAAAAGAAAGTGATGATTGCTAAGAAGCACCAATGAAGTAGAAAAGGGACAACAAGCGGCTGTGAGAGAAGTCGAGATAGCGTGCCCAGGGGAGTCCTTGCTGGGAAAGTAGTATTTGAGTACAGACCCAGAGTGAGGCAGGGAGCCATGCATCCGGGGGTGCCTGCCAGGTAGAGGGAGCCACAGATGCCGCGTCCCTCATCTTGGAGCTCCTGGTGTGGTAAAGAGCTGTAGTGAGAGCAGTGGCTGGAGGAGGCTGCGAGTTTCCTGGGCAGACAGCTCCTGTCATAATGCATAGTCTTTATTTGGCGTGAAATCGAAAGGCATTGGAGGGTTTGAGCAAATAGCGCCGTGATTGGACTCATATTTTAATGGGATCACTCTGGCTGCTTTTTAAAGAAAAGTCGGGGCAAGAGCAAAAAACAGATTGATTAGCAGGCCATTGTAATAATCCAGAGGAGAGATATCAGTGCTTGTTTAGGTACAATGATGGCAGCAGAGGTGTGACAAGATCATTCTGTGTGTCCTTAACATTTTATTTTGAAATATATAGTTTCATGGAAAAGTTGCAAAAATAGCTATACAAATTTTTGCATAATCTTCATCCAGATTCCTCAAATGCTAGTTAACATGTGCTGCTTGCTTTTTGTTCTATTTATAGTTCTATACAGTACTTTTCTTTAAAGAAGAGCTTTCTCTCATCAACTGGGGATGCATTATAGTTCCTTTTTTAAAAAAAGCAGGCTAAATTCCTTCCCTTCATCAATTCCCAACCACAGGACTTAAAATAAGCAGACTGTGTCATTATCTTTCATTTCATCTTTCTTTTGGGTTCTTCATTCTCAGAAAAGCTGATATGTAGGTGTGTATTATGCCCTACAAATTCTGCTCTTCTATCTCGTATTTCTTATTTAAATGTAGGTCTTTTGTGATGTCTCCATCTGAGCACTTGTGAGTATCTTGTATGTTTTGATTGGTGCTGGGTTTGTAACGTTTTTTACATGAGTTTTGTACAGGCGTTTTGTTTGCGTTTTATTATTTATTTATTTTAGAGAGAAGGGAAGGGAGGGAGAAAGAGGGAGAGAAACATCAATGTATGGTTGCCTCTCATACGCCCCCTACTGGGGACCTGGCCCGTAACCCAGACATGTGCCCTGACTGGGAATCAAACCAGTGACTCTTTGGTTTGCAGGCCAGCACTCAATCCACTGGGCCACATCAGCCAGGGCAGAACTTGTATCCTTTAGCATCATGAAGCATGTTATGATTTATTGTTGATGCACTTTTCTATTTTCTCAGTGCTACTTTTTTTTTCCCAAAGCAATATTACAGTTTTTTTGTTATGGAAAACTTAAATTAACTTCCATGTACCATTATTCAGCCTAAACAGTTCTGATTCATAGACATTATCTTGTTTTACCAATACACTCACCTGTGTCTCTGCCTCCCCAGCTCCTTTATCACTGGATTCTTCGAGAGCAAATCACTGAATGATCATTTTGCTCACAGAATTTCAGCATGCAAATTTTAAGATAAATGCTCTGTTTAAAAACTATAGCCACCATATCATTAACACAAGTTTCCATTAAAAATAGTGAAGATAATTCCTTAGTGGTTTTAAATTAATAGCTGATGTTGACATTTCCCCAGTCATCCCAGTTGCTTTTCACAGTTTTTTGTTTGCAAACAAATCAGGTTTCAGATGAGGGCTGAACATTTGATTTAGTTAATGTGTCTCTCAAATCTGTTTTAATCCACTCCTTCCACCTCCCTCCCTCCTTTTTTTCTTGTGGTTTATTTGTGAAGAAGCAGAATTGTTTGTTTTAAGTACACTTTCTCTCCTCCTTCCCCACTTCCTTCCCGCCTCCTCCACCAAGAATATGTTACATGTTTCTGTCAGGAAGCACATGCCATTTCATTTCTCCTGTTCATACTAGCAGCCATTGCCTGTGTACAATAGTTTATTGACCAGGGGGCAAGGGTACTTTTTTTTTTTAATATTTTATTTATTTATCTTCGGAAGGAGAGAGGGAGAGAAACATCAATGTATGGTTGCCTTTCATCCCTCGCTGTTCAACATGATACTTTAAACTAAATCACACGTGTACAAAATGCATTATTGCCAGGTGACTTTGCTTTTTTCATGAAGCTCTGTTCTATTAACTAAATGCAAAGTATCAAATTACATATGTTATCCACTAACTCTTCTTAATTTTTAGGAAGAGCATCTACCAAAGTGTTTTTCACTCTTTTTGCCCTGCTTGGTTTCTTCATTTGTTTCTTCGGACACAGATTTTGGAAAACAGGTATTATGTCTGATGTAGTTGCTACTTATATGCCTTGTGGTCTTTTTTCTTAAATACTGTGGGGGAATTTATGACCTGTAATTTATCTCCACTGTCTTCATAGATTTGTGGCTGTGTTGTTTTAGGAAAGATTCTGAGTTGATTTGCACTTTTCTCTTTTCTGAATAATGAGTGTAACCTTCTCTTGTTAAAAGGGGAATGACATTTCATTTGTGCAGCAAACTTCTTCCATTGCTAGACTGGCTAGTTGGCTCAAGATAACAGGTTAGAACTCAGGACGTCAGCGTGAAGAAAAGGATGTGTGAGTTTAGGTGATGGTGACTGACATGCTTTCATATCAGTCAGGCTGGGCCTCCACGTACAGTGAGATTGAAATGCCTGCTTGGTCCTGGGAGGTGCCGACAGCGGACAGGAACCCCGCCGTCTGCTCAGTGACACCCGGTGCCGGGAGGAGAGTGTAAATTATGCTCATTGGATGGATTGGAATTCTTTGGGTTGCCTTTTATGTAACTAATGTTTGCAGTTACTAAAAAAATTCCTTATTCATTAACAGGGAGTATACATGCAGCGTCACGGGGACAGTGAACATAGTCCTGATCTCATAAACCTCTTCCAACTTGCCTAACTGCACTGTTCAGAACGCAGTTCCTTCCCCTCCATCACTGTATCTTTTTCCTTGATTGAGGGAGACTCTTGTGAAGAATGTCCAGCTCCTCAAAGTGTAGAATGCTTCTGTAACAGAATTCAATTGCTAACTGTATGCAAGGTGCCAAAGATATCACTAGGTATTTTAATGGATGGAGACAATAGTTGGTTGTTCATCCTAAACAGGAGAAGTTAAGTTTAAAGAAGACAGAAAAGCTACATTTCTCTTTGGAATATATGGCTTTTTTTTTACCTTTTAAATTTTAGTTTTGCTAATCTAACAAGTTGAAATTCGGTGTACAATTTCAGACCATACACAATGAGAAAAATAATATTCTTGCTTTAAGAAGGAAGTATAAATATATTAAAACGAGCTCAGAAATTAACAACTGAGCAATTGAAATTGACCTATATATAAGAAGGTATATTCTGTGGTTAATACTTTAATATTATACCCATTTAATAGTAATATTTACTACCAATGAGTTCTGAATTTTTTCTCTTTTAGATAATAATTTTTCTCTGAATGCCTAAAGTGTAAGCATGAACTTGTACATTAGATATATAAGTTACATTGTCAAAAGTATACCTAACCTTAAACATGTTTTTTTCTTTTCCTGGTGGTTTGCTACTAGAATTATTCTTCATAGGCTTTATCTTCGTGGGATTCTTCTTTTATATACTGATTACAAGACTGACACCTATTAGGTATGATGGTAAGTAAAAACAATATAGTTTAGTTGGGTGTGCAAGAAGATGCTATGTTTACACTCCACCTTTGCTTCTACAGTTTGGCCAGTGTTGTGTGTGACATGCTGTTATGTGTGTAAAATAATATAAAACCTGTGTTCTAAATGACTTTCCTAAACTCATTCAGACCTTCTCTTTCAAGTTTTTGGTAATAGGTAAATTAGTTCTTTGGGAAATGAAGGCCATGTGGATTATAAATCTGTGTTCCAGCTATGTCGTATTCAGTGTATTGAAATGTGAGATTTATTAGAGTCAAAATGTTAAGATTTTCTGTACCTTAAAACTAAGACAAATCCTCCTTCCTGTCACATTAACAGAATGCTTGTCACCCCTTCTTCTTCAGCTCCAAATTATAGGTGGTGCCAGGCCATGCCTGTCACTGGGTCTGGAAGGTTTAGCTCCCCCTGCGAGTGTTCACCTCTCAGACTGGCCCCTCCCTAGGCAGAGCCCGTACTGGTTTCTTAGCAGCCAACCTTCTGTTGGTGTTTGACCAGAAGAGAGGCCAAGGGTGGCTCTGGGAATGGTGTATTGTGTCTAAAGCACACAGCAGGAAAAGCTAAACAGTTCATCTCTCTGTGTTCAGTTCGTCTGATTCTGACAGCAGTCGCTGGAAGCATCGGTGGGATTTTCTTGGTAGCTGCTTGGTGGCGATTTGGAATCCTCATGCTGTGCATGCTGTGTGTTGGACTAGTGCTGGGCTTCCTCATCTCCGCAGTGACTTTCTTCACTCCATTGGGTAAGGGATGCGTCACTGACGTCGTAGGTGTTCAGTTCCTTGTTCGAAAGGTCTTGCTTGGGCTCTCTGGGTACAAATACTACTGCCTCGTCGGGGGTTTGGAAATTTGCACTTGATGATGCGGCATGGTGGGGGGGGGCCAGCACAAACAAGAATCCGTTTCCTCAGAGGCACCTGTACTGCGTGCCTTGTGACGTGTCTTTAGGGGTAGCCGCGTACCTCTTTGTTGTGGTAAGGCATGTGTCTGCCTGTGTTTCTGTCAGAGTTAATGGAGGTAAAGGGCATTCTTAATATATGCTAGAACAGTAGTTTTTGTGTTTCATTTTTTTTAAACCTTTGAACTCTTTATTCAAATGACTCTTAATATAGCTCACAGATAAATTTGGTGCTGTTTTGATGGCAGCTGAGTTGGGGAACTTGGTGCTTTGTCCTCAATCTTTTCTTTTACCTGTAACCTCTATTCCTACCCTTTGCCAAACTTTGTGTTCCTGAGATACTCATTTGTAGACATCCTGGGGCAGAACACAGAGTTTTTTTATTTGGTTTTTTTTTTAAGTAATTCAATTTCTATCAATGAAAAAAAAGTTAACTTGTAAGTTAGCTTTCTTTGCATCTGTGCAATAACTTAAATTTCCTGATTGTTGTCAAAAATAGAAAAGAGAATCCACCTTCCAAATTACTCTATTAGGCTATTTCCTTGTGATGATGGTTAGTTCTTATGTTACGATATCAGATTCAAGTTGATGGGAATATTAGATATAAGTATAGGTGTCTGTTGAGCTATCAACTTTCGAGAACACAGGGTATAACAGAGTGCAGTTGGCTCTCCAAAGCTTTTTTTTAAGACCAAAGAGAATTCACAGCTTTTGTGTTTACTGACCAGTAAGAGGCCCTTTTGTTCTAATTTTAACAAACCTATAGCCAGCTTCGTTCCTGCAGGGAGCTCTTTTTACAAATTTTTACTCTTTAATTTGTGTGAATGGAAGTGAAAATTGGTGCAGCCATGATGGAGAATAGTGTGGAGGTTCCCCTCAAAATTAAAAATGGGCCTGTCTTATAACCGAACAATTCCACTTCTGGGTATATATCTGAAGAAACCCAAAACACTGATTCGAAAGGATATATGCACCACTATGCTCATTGCAGTGTTATTTACAATAGCCGAGATACGGAAGCAACTCCAGTGCCCAACAATAGATGGGTGGAGAGGAAGCTCTGGTTATCTATATGTATATTGATGTCGATATATAGATATATAATGGAATATTACGTGGCCATTAAAAAGAATGAAATCTTATTATTTGCAACAGCACAAAGGGACCTAGAGGCTATTGTGCTGAGTGAAATGAGTCAGAGAATGACAAACCCCACATGATTTCACTCACAAGTGGAGTCTGTAGAGCTCCCATTTTGCAGGATACGTGGGTCTCCAGATACAGGGCCACCTGCAGGTGGACTGAATGATGGTGCCAGTGTCCGCATTAAATAATTGTCAGGCTTATATTCTTGCTATTTAAACCTAATTTATAAATAGGAGTCCTAATATGTTCGTCCCAGGTCACTCAAAGTGTGCCACATTTTGGAGAACATTTAGTAGGAGCCGATGAGTGGTTAGCTCCTATCTTGCCTGACGCATTAGGAGATCACATCTTGCAGGGTGCAGTGGCTGGGCAGGAAATGCACAAATGGTAAAAATCTGCTAAAGGGATTTTACTGCTTATATTGGGTGGGAGTTCATACATTTAACTCTGAAAGCCATTTACCTGTATTTTTTACATTGCAACACAAAATTGTGGAATCAAAGAAATTTAGAGCTAGACTGGATGATTTGGAGTTTGGAGATGAAGTGGTTTAATCTTCTCATTTTATGGGTTAGGAAACTGATGCCCAGAAACAGCCAGTGCGAATGGAAGAGCTTGGACCAGTCAGGGCTCTTCTAAGTTATCCTGGTAGTAAATGCAGAGCATTTACATGCTTGATTTCACTCCTACCCTTGTGCCCGCTAGGACACACCCTTCAGAGGTCATTGCTTGATAGTCAAATGAATAACATCAGAATTCATTTCTGATCATCAACACATTCCCTGGTTGTTACATTAAACCTTCTACATATGTCTGTCTGTGTTCAGGTGTTGAGAAAATGAAATTTTTCTTTTTGCTTTTTCAGGAAACCTAACGATATTTAGTAATGATGATGTGTTCTGGGTGACCTTCTCTGGTATAGCTGTTCTCATTCCAGTAGTTTTCATGAGCTGCCTAAGAATGGTAAGTGTTTCACCAAAAGTTAGATTTATTTGTTATATTGTCCTGGGCCTTCAGTTGTTCACTTATTGCATCAGTTTGCATGTTTTATTCACTGGGGAGAGCTTTTGGTGATTAATTTTAGATAGTCTTGTTACTATGAAAGCAGGAAAGTTCTAATCATGATTACCATACAGTGTTTTTATAATCCAGTAGAACAGGTTATCACTGTTAATATGCTGTTAACAGTGGGCACACAGGAGGTAGGACTCCCTGCAATGCAACAGCCTGGTGGATGATGGGCTGTGTCTCCAGAAGAAAGCTTCTTCATCTAATTAAACTTTGTCGTTGAAGTTCTTCCACCAGGAAGGTATTTTTATGTGAGGTAAACTGTGTTTTAAGGACTCACTATGGGTGTCAAAGATTATTTTCAGTTCATCCTTCCAGGTAACCTTTATTCAGCTGTAAGACATGGTCCCTTTTCATGTGCCCCGTGGAAGCAGAAGTGATTCCCTGTGATTGAGGCCAGTGATGAGAGTTAGGAACTCTTCTCGTTCTGCCAGAGGTGAAGCCTAAACTGTCCCACTCTTCCGCAGCTGAACATACTGGCCTGTGGACTCGTTGGCTCCTATTCGGTGGTCTTGGCCGTTGACAGTTACATGTATACAAGCCTTTCTTACATCACTTTGAATGTACTCAAGAGAGCACTCAGCACTCGTTTCCGCAGCACTTTCACAAAGGTGCCCTTTCAAACTAATGGTAAGACTCTACATCCATGAATCAGTGGTCGTCAACTAGGATATTGACCCACCTGTGCTATCAAAAGCACTGGTAATTAGATTAAATGAAGGTTAACTGGGTGGAGAAAAATTAACTGGACACAAGAAAGAAACAAACGCTACACAAATGCTGTAAAGCCCTCTGTTAATAACTTAGGATCACAGAAGCAAGACTTTATTTATTTTAATTTTTTTATAATATATTTTATTGATTATGCCATTACAGTTGTCCCATTTCCTCCCTTCATTCCCCTCCACCCACATTGCCCCCTTTTAGTTAATGTTCAGGTGCTATAAGTTCTTTAGATTCTATATTTCCCCTACTATTCTTGCCCTCCCCCCTATTTTCTACCTACCATCTGTGCTACTTATTTTCTGTACCTTCTCCCCGTCTCCACCTTCCAGTCCCCTGTTGCTAACCCTCCATGTGATCTCCATTTCTGTGGCTCCATTCCTGTTCTAGCTGGCCACTTAGATCACTTTTGTTTTAGGTGTGGTTGTTAATAACTGTGAGTTGGCTGTCCTTTCACTGTTCATATTTTTTATCTTCTTTTTCTTAGATAAGTCCCTTTAACATTTCATATAATAAGGGCTTGGTGATGATGAACTCCTTGAATTTGACCTTATCTGAGAAGTGCTTTATTTGCCCTTCCATTCTAAATGAAAGCTTAGCTGGATAGAGCAATCTTGCATGTAGGTCCTTGCATTTCTTGACTTGGAATACCTCTTTCCGGCCCCTTCTTGCCTGTAAGGTCTCTTTTGAGAAATCAGCTGGCAGTCTGATGGGAAATCCTTTGTAGGTGACTGTCCCCTTATCTCTTGCTGCTTCTAGAATTCTCTTCTTCATTTTAATATTGGGTAATATAATTATGATGTGCCTTGGTGTGTTCCTCTTTGGGGCCACCTTCTTTGGGACTTTCTGAGCTTCCTGGACTTCCTAGAAGTCTTATTTTCTTTGCCAGATTGCGGAAGTTCTCCTTTATTATTTGTTCAAATAAGTTTTCCACTTGTTGCTCTTCTTCTTACCGTTCTGGTACCCCTATAATTCGGATGTTGGAATGTTTAAAGATGTCCTGGAGGTTCCTAAGCTTCTCCTCATTTTTTTGAATTATTGTTCCTACATTCTTTTCTGTTTGGTTCTTTCTTCCTTCTGGTCCACTCCATTGATTTGAGTTCCAGTTTTCTTCCCATCACTATTGGTTCCCTGTGCATTTTGCTTCATTTGACTTAGGGTAGCCTCCATTTTTCATCTAATTTGCAACCAAAATCGACCAGTTCTGTGAGCATCCTGATCAGCACTGTTTTGAACTGTGCATCTGATAGGTGGCTATCTCTTGGTCACTTAAAACTATTGGCTCTGGGACTTTGATTTGTTCTTCCATTTGAGCCATACTTTTTTGGTCTTGTCACACCTCTTATGTTTGAGGGGTGGAGCCTTGGGTTTTCACCAGGGCAGGGCAACCCAGTTGCTGGGTTGAGACGCTGTATGTAGGGGCAGGGTCAGAGAGAGAGAACAGTGGTGCTTGCTCGGCTGGTATTTCAGTCCCGTCCGCTGCTTCCCACAAGCAAATTGTGCCCTTCTGATGCTGGTTTCTGTGTGGGTGGGTTTGTGTATGTTCTATGACCCTGTGGGTTTTTCCAGGGAACTCTCCTGTGAGGCTGGGAGCCTCTCCCAGCACCTCGACCCCTACAAGTGTTTTCACTTGGTGCTTTTAGGCTTTATTTCCTTCCCATTGCTGGAGCCCTGGGTTGCGCAGTCTGTCTCACAGCCCATTTTTTGCAGGTTTACCTGCGCTCGAATGTGTGTCCATGATCAGCCAGCCACCTTGCGTGCCTCACTGGGTCTGCTCATTTCCTCCCCGTGCCTGCCAACTACTGCCTTTTCCTGCCGGGACCCCTCTCTGCCTGCCACACACTCTGCCCCTCTTATTAGTCTGGATGAATGGTTGTCGGACTTCGATACAGTTCAGTTTTCTGTCTGTCCTGGTTGTGTTTTTGCTTCTAAATCTTTGTTGTCCTTAGTTTTGGTTGTGCTAGGAGGCACAGCGTTTCTACCTATGCCTCCATCTTGGCCGGAAGTCAGAAACAAGACTTTAAATTTAGAAGTTCCTAACTTCTAAAAATCTACTAAGTGAACTTTTTAAAGAAATTTCTAAGTCAGGATTAATGGGGTTTACCTGGTCAATCCCAGTTGTGAGAAAAGGGACGAGACTGAAGATGGCCCCTAGCAGGTGAGGGTGCGGTGAGGAACAAGAATGACAGCCCTGTTTTTGAAGTTACTCCCTGCTTCCCTCCTTTAAAAAAGCATTGCAATTTGCTCATTGAAAGTGAAAGTGACTCGTAGTCATTAAGTGTCTCATTTTCTTTGTTGTAAGATTTCTATCCATTAAAGATTTTCCATTAATTTTTTGAAGGAAAAAAGACTACTAACTTAAATGTTCATGAAAATAGTAAGATTTGTTGGTTTCAGAAATGTTAAAACTTGGACAGTGGAAAAGCATGTCTTATAATTGAAAATGTACAAGTATAATCGTGATTATTATGAATATGAAAGACAAATCTTTCCCTGTACTATTCTCAGCCTGCCCTCATTGGGTAAGAGGATGATGGTACATCCCTGACTGGTGTGGCTCAGTGGGTTCGGTGTCGTCCTGTGAACTGAAAGGTCACCTGTTCGATTCCCAGTTTGGGCACATGCCTGGGTTTCAGGCCAGGTCCCCAGATACGGGCATGTGAAAGGTAGCCAATCGGTTTACTGCGTACATCCATGTTTCTCTCTTGCTCTTTCTCTTCGCTCCCTTCCCCTCTCTCTAAAAATAAATAAAATCTTTTTTTAAAAAAGGATGTTGATAGCAGAGACCTTAAAATCCATATGTCTTTTAAGTTTTACATACAAGACAATATTGTGCCAAGCCTTTTACTAGAAGCTCAGTACAATTTGCTGAACCTCTCCACACGTTTCTGTACCCCCTGTATGTGATTGGGGTGAGGACTGGGAAAAAGAGAGCAAGGTGGTGCCCACGGCTCCCTGACGTGCCTCTGCGAGGCAGACCTGGATTGCTGCCCTCCCCGGCCACCCCGCTGTGAAAAAACCCACTGTGCCTGTGGGCACTGCTCAAATATTCGAATGTCAACAATCCAAGCAGCCGGTTTCTTCACAACCTGTCCAGACTTTCAAATGCCTGTAATAGACAATTCCTGTTTTCAAATGTAAGACTGTAGCTTCCTCATTCATTCCTTGCTTTGTAAGTAAGGAAATAACACGTTTGGACAAACTCACTGCAAAGTCTAGTGTTACTAAGAAAGGATGGCATGAATTTAGTCTGTGAAAGGTGACATGTTAGATCTGCTGGGTTTTAAATCACAAAAGTTCAAACTGTGTTTTTCACTGTTTTTTAGACTTTATTATCCTGGCAGTATGGGGTATGCTGGCTGTAAGTGGAATTACGTTACAGATTCGAAGAGAAAGAGGACGACCGGCTTTCCCTCCCCACCCATACAAGTTATGGAAACGAGAGAGGGAGCGCAGAGTAACCAACATCCTGGATCCCAGCTACCACATCCCTCCACTGAGAGACAGGCTGTACGGCCGATTAGCCCAGATCAGAGAGCTCTTCCAGAGGGAACAGCCAGCCGGAGAGAGAACACCCCTGCTTCTGTAGATGCCACCGGGCACGGTCAGTGGGATCCAACAGTACACCCCAGGCACCGCCTCGGCTTGGGTGCTTGCGCCCAGCCTGCTTCAGCCATCTCCAGTCAAGTCTAATGAGAACATAGGCTTCTGTACTGTGTGTGTGGTGTCTTTTCTGATGTGTGGTAGGGCTACGCAAGGAGATTATGGTAATTCTGAGTGAAAAAGATGACCAAAAAATTGGTAGTAGGGAGGCTTTTTCTTATTCCAAAATACTTAAGAAATTACCTTTGGCATACATGAACAACTTACAACTTCCTGAGCAATTCTCTCACCTGAGTCTGTAAACCTGGGGGCAGGAGCACAGAGGGTGATTTGATTTAAGTGTTAGACTGAACTTTTGGCCACTGTTTAGAGGTTTAGGGATTTAATACTGGGGTCTTTGAACTTCAGAGTACAAAAAGAAGGAGAACTAACTTAAAAGCGGTCTGGTCACTTAGTTGTGTCTTTCACAGTATCATATATTACCAAAAGTACTATTCTTTTGCCTATTTTTGTGATAAACATTTACCATATCAATCATTTTAAGTACATAGTTCAGTACTTTTTGTTTTTTGTCTTTTATTGCTTAAAATGGTAATTTAAAAAGCTAAATTATTTCAGTTATTTGAAAGTTAAGTCAAATTTATATAAATAACAGAAATTATCTATGTATGATTTATTTATATTCTAAATAATAGCCTTTTTTTCTTTCAAGACCCTTTAAAATAGTGTTGACAGCTAGTCTCTGACTTAAATCGTATTAGATGATGTATGAATTGTTGTGTTTTTAGGAAAAAATGACTCCTACCTTAATCTGTAGTCCCATTCATAAGGAAATCTTTTAAAAACTTGCATTTTGTAATTCTTCCTGCCAAGTTAGTTATTGTATTGATGTAAAACACTAGTTCAAAAACTGTCTCTTCTGTATGAAGCCTTTATACCATCTGTGTTTTAAAGTGATTAGGAAATCGAAAAATATTCAGGTGTTTAATAGAGCTGTTTTTTGAGTTAGGACCTTGGCATTTTAAGGAGAATGAATCCCTTCAGTTTTGACCCCTTTCTATCCACTAACAAAGTAGCCGGGTGCCCCGGGCTGCTCGCCTGCTCCTTGTCCCTTACCTGTCAGAGCCTCTGCCGCCGGCTCTGGCTTCGACTCGAAGCTGGTGACCCTGACATGTCTGATGGCGGGTGCTTGTGGTCATGTGGGCATTTGTAAGTTAACCACTATATGAAACGATGCTGCTTTTCAGAGTTTTTTCAAAGCACAATAGATTTCTGAAGGTTCAGGTAACAAAATTTTTCAACATTTGCTTTTAAAAGTGTTTTGGAAAGGCTGAAACAAATTGAAAACTAGGAAACGAATTGTTTTGCTTTGAAAAATTAGACACAGGTGTTCATTTACTATTTATTCTGTAATCCACAGTTTATATCATTGCAGTAACACTTAAACTTGAAGGAAAAAAATCTTTGTTATCATTTACTGAAGGATTCTGGCTTCTGCCATATCTTCGTACATTCCAACAAAGTTATGTGGAATATTTGTGAGTTATTTTCTCAACCATCAAAATGCACTGCCAGTGAAGATTGTAAAGAAAAAACACACTTTTATGGAGGGGGATACAAAATGTTAAGAAAGTTTTATGGTAATTTGTGAGTAACAAAGAGCAAGTTTGTACAATTTTTTAATAATAAATTCCTATTTTGAAAAGATGCTAAAAAGTCTCATTATTATAAAATTCTTTTTTTCTTTTTCTTTTTTAAATTTTTTAATTATTTTATTTTTAATTGATTATGCTGTTACAGTCGTTCTATTCCCCCCTTCATTCCCCTCCACCCTACCCCCCATCCCCACCATTACCCCCCTTTAGTTTATGACCATGTCTCAAGTCCTTTAGATTCTATATTTCCCATGCTATTCTTGCCCCCCCCATCTATTTTCTATCTACTGTCTATGCTACTTATTTTCTGTACCTTCTCCCCCCATCTCCTCCTCCCCCACTCCCTTGTTGCTAACCCTCCTTGAGATCTTCATTTCTATGTTTCCACTCCTGATCTAGCTGTCCTTTTAGTTTGCTTTCGTTTTAGGTGTGGTTCTTAATAACTGTGAGTTTGTTGTCCTTTCACTGTTCATGTTTCTTTAACTTCTTTTCTTAGATAAGTCCCTTTAACATTTCCATAATAAGGGCTTGGTGATGATGAACTCCTTGAATTTGATCTTATCTGAGAAGCACCTTATCTGTCCTTCCATTCTAAATGAAAGTTTTGCTGGATAGAGCAATCTTGGTTGTAGGTCTTTGGATTTCATGACTTGGAATACCTCTTTCCAGCCCCTTCTTGCCTGTAAGGTCTCTTTTGAGAAATCTGCTGACAGTCTGATGGGGACTCCTTTGCTGCTTCTAGGATTCTCTCCTTCATTTTAATCTTGGCTAATGTAATGATGATGTGCCTTGGTGTGTTTCTTCTTGGGTCCAACTTCTTTGGGACTCTCTGAGCTTCCTGGATTTCCTGGAAGTCTATTTCCTCTGCCAGATTGGGGAAATTTTCCTTTATTATTTGTGCAAATAAGTTTACCACTGGTGGCTGTGCCTTTCCCCTTTCTGGTACCCCTATAATTCGGATATTGGAGCGTTTAAAGATGTCCTGGAGGTTCCTAAGACTCTCCTCATTTCTTTGGATTCTTGCTTCCTGACTCTTTTCTGTTTGGCCATTATTTGCTTTCTTCTGGTCCACTCCATTGATTTGAGTCCCAGTTTCCTTTTCATCGCTCTTGGTTTCCTGTGCAATTCCATTCATTTCAATTAGTTTCGCCTTCATATGTTTCTCTAATTTGTGGCTATAATCAACCAGTTCTGTGAGGATCCTGATGACCAGTATTTTAAACTGTGCGTCTGAGAGTTTTGCTATTTCTTTATCGCTTAGGTATGTGGGCTCAGGGACTTTGAGAATTTGCGACATTTTTGGTCTGTTCTGGCCCTTTAAGTGTGAGAAGTGGCGCCTTGGACTCCCAGGTCGCTAGGTTATGAAGCTGTATGTGGAGGTGGGGTCAGAGCGGGGAAATGGCGGCGTCCTCTACTGCCGCTTGCCGCGGGACGCCGGCCCCGGTCCAACCGCCCACTCCCTCGCCTGTCCGCTCGCGCACAAATAGGCGACCACAGTCAACACGCAGCACCGCTTCCCTGCTGTCTCCTCCGCGTCGCTCGCCTGGTCACTCGCTCGGTCGCTCACTAGGTCCAACCCTGCGCCTGGATTCCGCGTCTGGATTCTGCGCCTGAGCCCGTCTGACCGAGTCCTCCTGTGCAACCTCGCTCCACCAGCCACTGGTTTCGCCCCTTACCGGTCAGGCTGAAGAATTTGTTGTTAAAAGACTTCCGAAAAGTTCAATTTTCCGTGTTCTGGCTGTGATTTCTGTTGCTAATATTTAGTTGTCCCTAAACTTGGTTGTGTGAGAAGGCACGGCACATCCACCTATACCTCCATCTTGGCAGAAGTCTCTATAAAATTCTTATAATAAAAGTTTTTCACCACCTATATTTGTACTATGGTAACAAGACATTAGACAGTTTCCTAGCTATAAAGACAAAGTTACTTAATCTTGAAGACAGAAAAATAATTATTTGAAGTCAAATAACTAGCAGTTTTAGCATAAATAATAGGAAATGGAGGAAATCTGGGCAGGACATCGTCTTTAATGGATTAATTTGTGGTAATGTCATTAGAACTTCAGGTGTGACAAACTGAAGTAGGTAATATTACTGGAAAATTATACTGCTCTTTAAATGTTTTGTGTCTGATAACCTGTTCCAGGTTAACTACCAGGTTGCCAAACCACAGCAGCTAACCAGTGCTACAGACCCGGTGAGTTCTGCAGAAGATGGGATAGTAGACGGATTCTGACAAAGAAGTCACTAGAATATTAGACCAGGAATGGACTTTGGAAATCATATCTCACCCCTTTACTTTATACATGAGCAAATATTTTTAAAATATTTATTTTTAGAGAGATGGGAAGGGTGGGAAAAAGAGAGGGAGGGAAACATTGATATATGAGAGAGAGATCAATTGGTTGCCTCCCACACACCCTCAACTGGGCACCCGGCCTACAATTCAGGCATGTGCCCTGACTGGGAATTGAACCAGCAACCTTTTATTTTGACGGCCAGCACCCACGGCTATACCAGAGGAAATTCATGATGGAGTGAATCATATGAAGTCAGTTACAAAAGAGTACCCAGACCAAAATATGGGATGTCCCACCCCTTTGCAAATGTTCTTTATGCTTTATTGTACTGAAAATGTAAGTCATTGATTATTTTCAATTTTTGTCTGGCAAATTGTTAGGAAGTATCTAATGTTAATACTGCCATGGTCTCTGGAGGAGTTAGTTTTACACAGTGAAGACGTTTTTTTTTGTTTTGTTTTTTTAAGATTTTATTTATCTTTAGAGGGGAAGGGAAGGAGAGAGGGAGAGAAACATCAATATATGGTTGCCTTTACTGCATCCCCTGCTGGGAACTGGCCTGCAGGGAACTGGCCTGCAGGGAACCGGCCTACAACCCCGGCATATGCCCTGACTGGGAATCGAACCGCAATTGTCTGGTTCGCAGGCCTGCACTCAGTCCACCGAGCTATACCAGTTAGGGCTTACACAATGAAGACATGTTTTTCCAAGTTAATTCTCTGAGGTCATAGGCTATTCATTTCAAAGGACATAATACTTAAAAATTCTCAATATCCATACATATTTATCTCCACAGCAGCATTTGCATAGAAGTTTTTGGTATAAAGTTTACTGCCTGATGGTGTATTTGATACTTGTTACTGAATTTTATGAAAACCCCAAGATTCTGGGCTCTGATCTTCTTAGATCTGGGCCTCCCCCAAGAGCTTGCCCATGTCTTTTTTGCTGTGGACTGAATTGTGTCCCCCTCCAAATTCATGTTGAAACTCTAACTTCCCCTAGTACCTCAGAATGTGACCATATGTGAGACAGGGCTTTAAAGAAGCAATGAAGTTAAAATGAGGTCATTGGAGTCTAATCTGACCACTGTTTTGGTAAAAAGAGGTGAGAACGTGCAGAGTCACCAGAAGGTCCATGTGAGGACATAACGGGGAGGCTACATGCAAGCAGAGGACACAGCAGAAACCAACCTTGACCTTGGACCTCTAGCCTCCGGTGAGAAAAATCAATTTCTGTTTAAGCCACCAAGTCGCTGTTATTTTGTGATGGTAGCCCTACCAAATGAATATGCTTCACAAATCCTTTTACCCTGTTGATTGCAAGATCTCTGCAATCTTTGCCCATTGTGTCCACAAGGACTGCTCTTTATCAAATGGAGGTAGAGGGGGTTCTAGATCACGAAGGGAGTATAGATATATAGTAGGAATAAGAACTGAGTCCTGGGGCTCTCTGATGTTAAGTTGGAGGGAAAAAGGAACAAGAGAATTTGAGGAGCAGCCAGTGAGGTAAAAAGAGAATGTCCCTTTAAATTTCAATTAGAAATTATTATTTTTTTTAAACTTTTTTATTGATTATGCCATTACATTTGTTCTATTCCCCCCTCCATTCCCCTCCACCCTGCATACCCCTCCCCCACCATTTCCCCCTTCAGTTCATGAACACGTGTCTCAAATTCTTTAGATTCTGTATTTCCCCTACTATTCTTACCCTCCCCCCTATTTTTTCTATCTACTGTCTATGCTACTTATTTTCTGTACCTTCTCCCCCCTTCTCCTCCTCCCACTCCCCTGTTGCTAACCCTCCATGTGATCTTCATTTCTATGGTTCTGCTCTTGATCTAGCTGTCCTCTTAGTTTGCTTTTGTTTTAGGTGTGGTTTTTTACTAACTGTGAGTTTGTTGTCCTTTCACTGTTGATCTTTTTTATCTTCTTTTTCTTAGGTAAGTCCCTTTAACATTTCATATAATAAGGGCTTGGTGATGATGAACTCCTTGAATTTGGTCTTATCTGAGAAGCACTTTATCTGTCCTTCCATTCTAAATGAAAACTTTGCTGGATACAGCAATCTTGGTTGTAGGTCTTTGGTTTTCATGACTTGGAATACCTCTTTCCAGCCCCTTCTTGCCTGTAAGGTCTCTTTTGAGAAATCAGCTGGCAGTCTGATGGGAACTCCTTTGTAGGTGACTGTCCCCTTATCTCTTGCTGCTTCTAGGATTCTCTCCTTCATTTTAATCTTGGCTAATGTAATGATGATGTGCCTTGGTGTGTTTCTTCTTGGGTCCAACTTCTTTGGGACTTTCTGAGCTTCCTGGATTTCCTGGAAGTCTATTTCCTCTGCCAGAATGGGGAAGTTCTCTTTTATTATTTGTTCAAATAAGGTTTCCACTCGTGACTCTTCCCCTTCTGGTACCCCTATAATTCGAATGTTGGAGCGTTTAAAGATGTCCTGGAGGTTCCTAAGCTTCTCCTCATTTTTTTGAATTCTTGTTTCTTCATTCTTTTCTGTTTGATCATTTTTTTCTTCCTTCTGGTCCACTCCATTGATTTGAGTCCCAATCTCCTTTCCATTACTATTGGTTTCCTTTGCATTACCATTCATTTCAATTAGTTTAGCTTCCATATGTTTCTCTAATTTGTGACTAAAATCAACCAGTTCTGTGAGGATCCTGATAACCAGTGTTTTGAACTGTGCATCTGAAAGATTGGCTATTTCTTCATCGCTTAGATTGATCGGCTCTGGGGCTCTGAGTTGTTCTTGAGCCATTTTTGGTCTGTTCGCGCCGTTAAGTAAGTGGAGCGAAGCCTTAGTTGTTTACCAGGATGGGGCCACTCAGGTCTGGTTTGTGACGCTGTGTGTGTGGGAGCGTGGTCAGAGAGGGAGCAATGGCGGTCCTCTCCGCTAGCCCAGTACATCCAGTCCCACCATTTGCCCCGGCCTGTTTATCCGATCGGAATTGTGCGAGCCTGCTGCCCCGCGCCTGCTCCCATCTTCACTGGTTTATCCGCACGCAGATGCGCGACCGACCACCGCAGACAGCCAGCCGCGCCTCTTCCCTGTGCGCTCCTGTAGCTAGCCAGCAATCCGTGTCTTCAGCTGCTTGCGCACCACCCGTTCGGGGATTTTTTTTTTTTGCCAACCTGCTCCACTGCTGGCTTCGCTCCTCTTACCGGTTTAGCTGAGCATTTTGTTGTCTTTGGACTCCGTATTGTCAATTTTCTGTGTGGCTTGGTTGTGTTTTTTGTTGTTAAAAATAGTTGTTCTTAGATTTGGTTGTGCACGGAAGCAAGGTGGTTCCACCTACACCTCCATCTTGGCCTAGAAATTATTATTGACAGTAAAAAAAAAAGTGGTCACCAAAAATTAAGTTCTGGATTTATGATACTACATCATCATTGAGGCTGTTTAGAAATACAGAATTTGGGAAGTCACCTTGATAATAAATATCAAAAATGTTGATATTGCAAGCATTGTTTGAGCAGAAAGCATTTCATCTTTGAGGTTGTATGTAATTGATTTTTTAGAATTAGATTCCCTACATTGAGATGAAAACTGAAGTGGGTAGAGGACACATGATAGATGTGTTTGTTTCCTAGGGCTGCTGTATATTCTCACTGGCTGGGCAGCTTCCAGAAGTTTATTCTCTCAGTTCTGAAAAGTTGAGAAGGCCAGAGGTCTGAAATCAATCAGGGTCGGTCTCTTCTGGGGAGTCTGAGGGAGATTTCACTCCCTGCCGCTCTCCTAGCCTCTGGTGGCACCTTGTAATCCTTGGGGTTCCCTGACTTGCCCAACTCTCTGCTTCTCTTCATGGCTTTCTCCTTGTGTCCCTCTGTTTCAGATCTCTTACAAGGACATAAATCATTGGGTTTAAGGCCCATCCCAAATCTGGATGATATAATCGCAAGGTCCTTCCAATTCTGCAAAGACTTTATTCGCAAATATGGTCACGTTACTAGGGAAGGTTAGGACCTGAATATGCTTTTGGGGCAGAGAGCGGTGGTACACACTCTTAAACGCACCACAGAAAATAAAGAGGCTTTCAGGATCAGTAACAAGTTGCTGACCAATTCCTCAAATAGAGACAGAAGCTGTGGCTGAGTATCAGCTTTGTGGTAAGCAGAGAGAACAGTCCTAAAAATAAGTGTAAGTAAATACTGTTTTCAAATTAATCTGGAGAGCACACAAATTTTAATCACTCATCTTTATTGATAAAATAGACTCCTATGCACTACATACCTTCAGACATAAATTTTAAAAAAGTACGGGATGGAAAACTTCCTATGTAACAAAGTAAATGTCTTTAAACACCAAGGTCTTAAAATTATATCCAAGTAAGAAGACAATAAATTAACTCAACTTATTTGTTTACAAAAATAATTATTTATCAAGTAATATTTCATAATAGAGCTGCCTCAATGAACTGCCTCAGACTTAATTGTGTAGCATATTTTCTTTCATTCTAACTTGGGATAAAAACTATATGAATGAATGTGCCATCAAATTAAGGGGTACTTTGCGAAAAACAAATAGAAAAGTTAGAAAATAAAAACTGTCATTGTTTATAAAATATTAAGGCCTCTGAATGAGAACAAAAGTCAGTTTAACCTTTGGGTCCACAGCCCTTTTCTATTCAGTCAGCCCCCATCAGCCCCACTCACCGCAAACTTAGGATAGAAAAATTCTGAAAAGTAGTTTTATGTTTGACCAGTCTATGAAATTATACATAAAAATTGCCATGTAAATATTTAACAAATTTGTACTCAAAAGTAAATTTTCTATTGTGTTAATTTTAATAGGTACTTAATATAAACGAGCATAATATACTTGGTCATATCTGACACTGTCCTTTTATTCTATAATCACAACAATAAAAATTTAGATTTCAATTGATGTTAAAGTACACTTCTGATTTTGGTGGCTTTAAAAAATTTACATATACTGGATATATTTTATAAAAAAATAAAGCAAATATTTCTAACTCCACTGATTTTTTGGTCCCTCTTTAACTGCAAAGTTTTAAGAAAAATCTTTATCAGTTGTGAGGACCAGGTGGTGCTTCAAAACAGACCCAGAAACATGTTTTAAATTTTTTAATGTACTTTTTCTCTCTCTTAATAGTTACTTTTTAAAAAGGGCTTAATGAGGCAGAAGATTTCCCAATATACTTTGAAATAACCATACCTAGCTTGCTTTATTGGACATTTCAACTCTGGTAGCCAAATGAGCTCCAAAATATCCTTAAAGATCAACCAGAGAAGAGAAAAATCTCATCTTCGTTACTGATTTAGAACCAAAACTTATTCTTTCAAAGGAGTAGTTTAACCTACTAATGTCTCTTATAAGATCTTCTTTCTTAGAAAGTAGTAGTCCTTGTCTTTCATTCCTGAAAAGCTATTTCATATGCTTAGCAATTATGGACAATTATTTGCTGAGTATTAATTATGGTAAATTAGTTAAAATCAAATTACCTCTTTTGTTTGTGGTGCATATAAAACATTCCTGCAGCTTTTCAAACTGAATTTTCTTTGACAAAAATTTAAATTAATGGGAAGGTAGACAGGCAATCAATGCTGAAGTTTCATGGTACATAAGCTATTTGTTAACTTTGACACCAAACAGGGAGGAAAAAAATTTAGTATGACTATCTTCCATTCACCAAGCTGTGAAAAAGTTTGTATGTTAAAATTGGAATGATTTCATGAATTCCAAAATAGTTATTGGGAATATTCCTCTTTATCCAAGTATCATCCAGAAAGTCAACCGCACTACTGAAAAGCTCTTGATACGTTCATCAGTCCTTGTGAAAATCTTCAATTTGTTCAGCAATTAACAAAATCTTAGTTTCTGCCTGTCAATTGTATTTTGGAATAAAGTCTATGACCACGAACTATGCATTTTTTTGTTGCTGTCTCTTAAAAATGTCATCGCCAGTGCACTGTACACTGTACATATTATAGAAAAAAAAGGGTGGCTGGAGGTCGATTTTTCCGTCATTCATTCATGTCAGCAGGCCAGTCCCAGGGGTCATGTGGAGCCTTGTTAGAAGCTCACAGCCTCTTCAGCTCTTTCTCAGACTAAGGTCACTAGTGGTCACTAATGCTGACAAGGACGTACTTTCCGATACATCGTCTTTCCTCAGGTTCAAAAATGATTCTCGAGTTATTTGAAGGATCTCTCTCAAGCCTTTGTTTTCTTGCTAAAAGAAGACAAACAAAAACAAAGATGAGTCATAGAGGTAGCTATAAGAGTACCAGCATATCTTAAGAAAAGCCAAACATATGACAAATAAGAAGTCCTGTGAATGACAGGTACTAAACGATATGTGCAGTTGAAGCTGACAACTTGAACCCAGAGAATGCGTTTTTACAGAGGCAGGGTCCTGGTTCAAGAAGTCTTCCATCCATGCCACGTCTTCTTAGTTATGCAGCTGTAACTGTAGATGGAATCTCAGCAGTCGCCTTATTTTACAATTACAATGTAGATGAAGAAAATAACATCTAAATTGATATTTTCATAAATGCAGGAAGTTTGTAAAATAATACCTGGGACTATAACCTCTTAGTACTTTAGTACTTTTATTCCTTTGCATGATGCAAGGAATGTAATAACACAAGCCGTCTGGTTTGCTTTCCTTACCGGGATTCGCCACTGCAGGGCTGGCTGAGTACATTGTGAGGTTTTTAAAGAAGGAAAGTAAGTAACCAAATCTAGCCCTGGTAAACAACTTTACCTTTTTTTCCTCTAGTTACTGGAAGAAATTTGCAGACATTTAAAAACTGCCCTGGCTAGTGTGGCTCAGTAGATTGAATGTCAACCTGTGAATCGAAAGGTCCCCGGTTCGATTCCCAGTCAGGGCACAAGCCTGGGTTGTAGGCTGGGTCCCCAGTTGGGGACACACAGGGGGACGGACCACCACACACTGATATGTCTCTCCCTCTCTTTCACCCCTCCCTTCTCCTCTCTCTAAAAATAAGTGAAATCTTTTTTAAAAAAGTAACTTCAACAATTTATTCTCTACCACCGTCTTTGGTTTTTCTTTCTAAGTTTCAATAGTATAAGGCAGGGATGTTCAAACTACAGCCTGGCTTGAGGTCTGTTATTGTAAATTAAATTTTACTGTAAATTTTGCATTACAATGGCTCAGTTGAGTCTACAATAGAGACTGTCTGGTTTCTGAAACCTAAAGACTTACTATCTGGCTATTTCCTTAAAAAAGTTTGCTTACTCCTGTTATAAAGAATGAGAAAACCTTGAATGCTTAGACAGATAAATAATTTTGGGCCCTCTATAACCATTTTCTCCACTATGATTTCAAAATGTAGCTTTTAAAGCATAAAAGCCTCTTCTACTGATCTGGATTATTCAACAATGACTTATGCTTTCACCACACAAAATAAAGGACCATAATTTGAGATACATATATTTGAGACCATAATGAGATATATTTTCTGGCGTAAATCTCTATATGAGTTCCCACCCATATTTACAGTTTAAAACTTACTTCCAACTGAAATATTCTTTCCTGTTCCTTACAGCCCTGCTGCTCATCCATCTCGATGGCCTTCCTCATCACTGCTGCCATTTCAGTTATCTGGTCGACATGTGCTTGTAATTCCTGGAATGAAGAGTTGGGAGTTACAAACTAGTAAGATCCGGTATTAGTTTTATTTGGGGGTCCTCTCCTTTTTATCAGATCTGCACTGCCACTTAATGTGGATGCAATACTCACACGCTGCCATTTAACATGAATTACCATATCAAACAGGTATTTACAAAAAGCTGACCGACCACGATTGTGCTTCTGAAATCAGATTTCTGTCAGGACTAGAATAAGGACAAGCAGAACAATTTAACTAAATCCACTGGTTGAGAGTACTCAGATTTCACATTCTTCTCACTACGAATGATCAGCAACTTTTTTTGCACCTACCTATACTATTGATCAAAGTAATGGGAAAGATAAAAATTCATGACATTTACTCTCTTTCCCCTGAAGATTTCATGATTTATAAATATTTTCTGTATTACCTATATAATTATCTCAATTATGTATTACCTAATAATTTATCTCAATCCAATCTAGAACCCTTCTAAATTATTAATCCTCTTTGACAGCAGAAACGGTATCTTGTTTATATTCACTTATTAGTGTTCAGTACATAATGCTTAATAAATATCTATAAAACGAACATAGTTCTGCTTTTAAGTATTAAAATAATAAATGGACTCTTTGGAAACTGTTCAAAATATAACTTAAGTATAAAATAGACATCCACAGTTTTTGGGGTGCAACAGTAACACATTTCTTCCAATCACACTCCCTGTTTTCGCACACCTACAGTATGTCAGGCACTGTGCTAGGCAACAGAAATACGAATTCTGTGAAGCCATGTTCCCTGATTTCAAGGAGCTTACAGTCAAGTGAAAGATACAGACAAAACATTTAAAATCAACATAAGCTTAAGAATAGTAATTTTTTAAATGAAAAGCTTCTATAGACCATTAATTCATTGTCAGTTGAGGGTTATTTTACTGTATTAATAAGTACAGAAGTTAAATACAAAAGTTAATAGCTCCCCAAGTACACATGAAGTCTCTTAAATAGTTCTGCATTTTCTGTTTTTAGAAAGGGTTTGAACAGGACCCCCCAAACCCTATAAAACTAGTAAGCCATGGAAGAAATAAGATGGGGAACAAACAGGACTATCTTTTGCAAATATACATTTAATACCTTCCTAAACAACAAAAATGCATGTCCTTATACTGTTCTGATGGGGAAACCTGTACAATGCTAGTACACAGAAAGGGCAAAAGAAAGGACTGACACTGTCCACTATGGCACTATTTAAATCCGCATTAAAATTGCATACAGCTAGAGAAATGAGCAATTCAACCCCCGAGTTACACCAGTGACAGTGCCGGCACTCAAAAGTCACAGGGGGCGGGCAGCCTGCACACTGGACAGCACAGAGAAAGAACATCTGCACCGTTCCAGAGGGTGCTGCCCCAGGGCCCCAAATTAGATGATGGTAGCGAGGATGATAACAAGACAAACATCTGTCGTACTCTGCAAAGTTATTAAAATCCCTCCCAGTACAAAGGGAGCATATAATGTTTACAAACCAGTGAAGGACAGATAACTACAGACACAAACTGAGAAGTGATAAATGAGTAAACATTTTGAATACAAACAGCTTTCTCAGTTTATGTGACTTTTTGTATCCTATGGGACTGACCTAGGTAAAAAACTACACAGGAAGTAAATAATTCTTTCCTTCAAAATGGAAGAAAACAAGATACTGCCATTTTTTTTTCAGGACAGAGTCCATTCTAATAAAATCATTATGAGGGGGAAAAAACCCAATTTTTTAAACGAAACAGCATTTTTACAGGTTCAGTTCATGGATGGTTCACTTATTATAATAACTCTTTGGAGAAATATCATAGATCTTTTACTGGGCACAAAAGGTCAAGACCTGTGCTTTCAAAACTGTCTTAAAGGCAAGGAATGTCAGCAAAATAATCCTTGAACTATATTGACATGCCTTTTTCACTTGTAACCTCTGTTTAGGTTTATTTCAACTTTGGAAAATAAAGACCAGCCACAAGTAAGTTTTGGGGGGGGTGACAGTTAAGACATAATGGAGAGTTATGGACAGTTAAGGCATAATGGACAGTTAAGACATAATGCCACTAATAATAATAATACTTAAACAAAAGCATTTCAATTTTATATAAACTCAAAGATAAGGACTGCAAACTATCAAAATCTGAATGAAAATAATTCATTTATGTGATTGAACAGCCCTGGTCAGGTAGCTCAGCTGGTTATAGCATCAGCCCAATACACCAAGGCTGCAGGTTTGATCTCTGGTCAGGGCACACACAAGAAGCAACCAATGAATCCATGACTAAGTGGAACAGTAAATTGATGTCTCTCTTCCTTTCCCTCTCTCTCTCTCTCTCAAATCATTAATTAAAATTTAAAAAAAATAATAATTAGATTGAACAAAATTTTTATGAAGTCAGATTAAAATCACTGCCAAGAACATGTCTTTGATGTCCAGTAAGAGAGTAACCGTTTCAGGTTTACTAAATTTGTGGCAGTAGCTGGTAAGACGAACGAAGGGAAAAGCTGGCCAGAACAGCCTTTAGAGCCTGCCGTTACCTAACACAGCACACACAGGGTTAATGACAGCCTGAAGTTATGTGTATTTTTGCATGGCTCTCGAAAGCACAGCATTTTAAAGCAATTTCATTTGTTTGTTGATTTACTCTGGCAGGAAAGCTCAACATGAAAGAACTTTTGAAAGGAACCCCCTTCCACCCACACCCCCAAAGGTGACTGTTTTGTTTAGTGTACATTCTGATTTGCTTCCAAGCGCCTCCTCTCCAGTCCATGCTGAGGTGCTTCAAGGATGTGTCGAGACGCATCAAGGAAGAATCCCTCGGAGCTGTTACGATGTACCATGTCAATCTGTAGTACAGAGTCATTATAATTGTTAATACGGACATTATCCGTAATTTAAAAACTGAATGAGTGTTAGTTCATGCGTGTTAGCCAACTGTTTGAAATGTTTGCTTTTTCAAGATTTCCAAAAAGGCATCTGTTCAAAAACAATGAAAAAAATGAGTATTTGGATGAAAATGAGTTCTCAGTTTGACTTTTAAATGTGTACTCAAAAACTTTTGGGTAAGGGTAAAATTCTGTATTACAGTAGTCCTCAAAAGGGTCTCTTAATCCAAACATGCTGTTATTTGTAACTGTTACCTGTAAATGTAAACTGTAAAAACTGTTTTAGTGTTTAGGCATATCAGCCCACTAGTACCTTAAACAAATTCTAAAATCTCTTATTTCTGCACCTTTATCACACCAGTTTCTCTGCTCACCTACTTCTGCTTGTTGACACCCAACCCCCACTGATTAATTCACAACTGGATTTAGACAGATTTCTTTCTTCCCTTACACCTTCCCAAATTCTTAAGAGAACTAATCTTGCCTCCTCTAATATTCCAGTAATAATCCCTTTCACTATTTTGTAATTCATCACATCCTACCTTATATCAGAACATCCTACCTTATATCAGAGTTCAATTTTTATCTGTATCTCCCATTATACTGTAAGCTCCTGTGATAGAATAATGGAAGTTATCCATTCATTCATCTTATTATTAATAATAACTAAGCCAGTACAAGTGTTAATAGATGTTCGTTTAATTGAGTCAAAGTGTTTCCTTTTTGGGAAAAATCAAAATCACAAACATTAATATGTATTAGTTAGAATTAATAACAAGTAATCGAATAGCCATTTTATGGAAGGCAAGGATCAGCACTTATGATGAATTTAATTTATTTAATGAAAAAAGACGGTTTACAGCTATCTTCAAAAATGTTTCATTCATATTGCTAATTAATAAAACATGTCTGGTGAATAGTAAAATTTCATGTTTTAGAAAACATTCACTTTTGTCACAGCTACTACCAGATGGAACCAGCAAGCTGCAGTATCTTATTTTATGTACTTTTTGGTCATATATTCTCTTTAGATCTTAAAAAAATTACTTCTTAGGGTATTAAACATAAGGACTTTTAGAATTTCTCGAGATCACATATTTTTTTTTACCAATAATTTAAAGTCAATTCATCTTCATATCTTTAAAAACCTCTTGTTACACATTTAAATATATTTAATCATTCTAACAAAAGGTACATTTTATATTAAAAAGACTGCTACATAAACATTCAATGTTTTCCTTTTGGTTAGGAGATGAATATAGCGTAATTAGTTAACATTAAACCTGTATTCATTTATTTAATTTACTACTTTCCTATCTGACACAAGAGGTATCTGTTAGTAATTTCCTCAACATATAAAGCTGTCGTACAAAGATATACCTACTAGGCATTTCATTTTAATAGAATTAATAATTAAATAATTTAAAAATACCTATAAGCACCATGGTGGAATAAACATTTTAAAGAATCCAAAATGTGTTTCAATAATTGAGAAAGATAAAAATATGCCTTAAAACAATATTTCTCAAATAATATTTGTTGTAACAGTGAATAGTTAGCTCATCATTTTGTTATGGATAATGGCCTAGTAGTCAGAAACTAGTCTAATATTTTTACTTCATATGGCAATTAAAACCCAGTTTAAACTGGAAGGTAAATGGTAAAGACTATTCCACTTGTCTTCACGGCAGCTGTCAGCAAACACGGGGTCACACACAAAGGGACCAGGCACAGGGACAGCAAATGAGATGAGCAGAAGGAGAAACACCAATTTTTAACCAGCTCAGCTATTGCTGAAAATGATGTTCCTGATAATGTGATTTGTGGGGAGGGAAGAATATTTTAATATGTTGGTTTTTTCCTCTCTCTGACCCTGTGTTTTTTCCACAGTCAAGAACTAGAGTCAAGATTATAATTTGAATCAATTAGCCTTATTCAGAAAATAGGTTTAAGAAAAACAAATCTACCTTTCTTTATCTGTGTTCAAATTTTCAAAGAAGTTTTCCGCATTTCAATTTTTGTTTGTGCAACAGATGTCAATACACAAATCTACTGAAGAAATATTTCTTAAAAGCTGATCACCTTATAAAAGTAAATCTGAATTGAATATTTACCTTTCTTTGTAAAAAATTTTACTTTTTAATATATATTAAAACTACTAGAAACAAAGGAGTTAAAAGAGTAAATCTTAACAAAATGATTTATAACAGGAAATGAAAAAAATAAGGAGAAATAGAAAATGTCAAAAAGATGAAGTATTCAATATCTTGTTAAATATTTATCATGTGATTTTACAAAATTCTGAACACAAGTTAACCAATTGTCATTCTTTTCCACTTCAAATTATATTCATAGAATGCATTACCTTGGAGTGCTGCTCTTTTAACTTCACTATGATACCCGGGTCATCTTTTTTGCTAGCCATTAGCAATCTAAACATTTGCTCACGATACTTGCTCATTATAAGTTCCAAGGCCGACTGATGTTCTTCCAGGGATGTACGTAATTCTATCAAGAGGAACAGTATATTTTATTCAAACTTTTCTTTTTCAGATTACATTAATAAAAAAACTTATAAAAAACAACTTATAAAAGAGGGTGTTTATAAAAGAAAACACAATGGCTAGGAATCTACCTGTATAGAAATAAAGATACCAAATGGAGTCCTTTATTAGTTTTTTTTTAAGATTTTATTTATTTATCTTTAGAGGGGAAGGGAAGGAGAGAGGGAGAGAAATATCAATGTATGGGTGCCTCTCATGAGTCCCTTGCTGGGAACTGGCCTGCAACCCAGGCATGTGCCCCAAATGGGAATCGAAATGCGATTCTCTGGTTCGCAGGCCTGCGCTCAATCCACTAAGCTACACCAGCCAGGGCCTTTATTAGTTTTTTAAATGACCATTTAAAGCTTATATTTTGAGACACATTTCAATAAACATTTTCTGAACAACAATTAGGTATCAGATGATGGTCTATATTAGGAATACCAAAAGGCTATGGAGCTCAGTGTAGTGAAGAAAACAAATACATAAATAATTATAACACTGCATGATAAGTGCAGAGAGGAGCTCTATTCAAATATATATTAAAAGTAAGTGAGGAGAAACTGGGGAAAGCTTCAGAGAAGCTTGAGATGAACTTGCATTCTTTGAGCTGAAAAATAAAGGAAAGGACATTCTAGGTCGGCAGGCATGAAAGTGAACGGTATGTTCAGAAACTCGTCTGGGATGACAAAAGCAAAGGCTTCACGGGGAAGAGAGGTGTGGGAAGAAGAGAGAAAAGGCCTGGGTTGACTTTGAAGGCCATTGGAAAAGGAATGTCCCAGGTTCTGTGACTTTAAGCAAAATGATGCACAAGTATAACAAAATCAATTTTACTAAAGTGTAATTGATATAAACAAGAGTTAAGTTCCTATGGCATCTCATCAATGTTATAACAAAACACCATTGAACAAACTGATGTTATTTGACGATCTGCTGTATAAATGAGGGTTGTTAAGCAAAATAATAATACGATCAGATTTTTTAAAAAATATTTTAAATTTATTTTCTAGAGAGAGAGGAAGGGAGGGAGAGAAATATTGATCGGCTGGCTCCTGCATGCCTCTTGCAAGCCCCCCACCAAGGTATGTACCCTGCCCAGGAATCAAACTGGCAACCTTTTGGTCCACAGAGTGATGCCCAACCCACACCAGTCAGGGCTGATCAGATGTATTTTTGAAAAATCAATCTGATGCCTGTGTTGAAGATGGACTGCAGGGGAAAAGAGAATGGAACCAGGGAGATCAGTTAGGAAAGTTCAGGAAGAGACTACAAACACCCAAGCCGGGGAACCAAGCAGTGGGATGGCAGAGAACGAAACTGAGCTATTTCACAGGTAACAACAACAGCACAAGCTGGATATTTACAATGAGGATCTAAGATGACTCCAAGCAAAGTAGACATTCAAATATAGGACAGAATAACAGGCAATAGATATGATTTAGAAATACTGGGTTGGCCAAAAAGTTCATTTGGTTTTTTCCATAAGATGACTCTAAGTAGCACTTAATTGTCTTTAACTCCATTTGAAACAATTTTGTTAGATTATATTGTGACATGTCTTATCAGTATGCATTTTAAAAAGACTTATCAAAATTGGTGAATTTTTGTAGCCATTTTAATATTGAAGATAGAAGAAAATATGCAACATTTTTGGCATTTATGCTTTACTATTACAACAAAGGTAAAAATGCAACTGAAACACACACACAAAAAGATTTGTGCAATGTATAGAGACGGTGCTCTAACTGATTGAACGTGTCAAAAGTGGTTTGCAAAGTTTTGTGTTGGAGATTTCTCACTGTGCTCCAGTCAGGTAGACCAGTTGAAGTTAACAGTGATCAAACTGAGACATTAATTGAGAACAATCAACATTATATCATATGGGAGACAGCTGACATATTCAGAATATCCAAATCAATAGTTATTGGTAAAAATGAAAAATGTGTGTTTTATCTTACAGAAAATAAGTAAATGAACTTTTTTGCCAACCCAACATGAACTAGAAAGGAGATGAGATTAACATCAAAGAGTAAATTTAGTGAATTACTTTCCCATTTTTATCAATATTAATTGATTTCAAGTTGATAGTACAACTGCAGATTCAAGTTCTCTTTTAATTTGCTGTACATAATAATAATATATCTTGCCTTTGTTCTCTTGTTGCAATTCTCTGATTTGTCTGTTTTCTTGCTGAATTCCCATAACTAATGTGGACCGTGGCCGATGTCTTGCAACTTCATTAAGTTCTTGAATTTCTTCCTGATACTAATGAAAATATTAAGTAAGAACATGAGGGAAGAAAATATTTGGAAATATAAATCTGAGACATATATCTGATAAGGGCCTAGTATCCATAAGAGAAAGAGCTCTCACAACTGAGTGATAAGAAAAACCACCCCATTAAAATCTGGGCAAATAAGTTCAGGGATATACTATAAAGCACGGTGAGTTAACAGTATTTATGTACTTGAAAGTTGCTGAGGGAGTAGATGGTAAATGTCCTCACCGCACACTTGTAAAAGGTAATCATGTGAAGTGAGGGAAATGTTAACTAACCTTATTATGGAATCACTTCATAATATCTGATTAGCAAATCATCACATTATGATGGAGAAAAACCTGGCAAAGGATTAAAGAGACAATGCTCTAAAGAAAATACATGAATGACCATAGCACATGAAAAGATGCTTCACATCATTAGTCAGTAGGGAAATGCAATTCAACACAAGATACTACTTCACAGCTTCTACAATGATTTTAATAAAAAAGACAAGTAATAACAGATGTTGGAGAGAATGTGGAGAAACTGTAACCCTCACATGTTGATGGGAATGTAAAATGTAACTGCTCTGGAAAGCAGTCTGGCAGACCCTCAAAAAGTTAAACCAGAGCTATTGGATGACTCATCCATTCCACTCTCAGTTATATACCCAAGATAACTGAGAACATGTCCACACAGAAACTTGTACATAAGTATTTGTGGCAGCACTGCTTATAATAGTCAAAATATAGAAAGAGTCCAAAAGTCCATCAACTGATGACAGATAGACACAATGTGATGGACCCTTATAATGGAATATTATTTGGTGATAAAAAGGGATGAGGTATTGATTTCTACTACAACATGGATGAACCTTAAAAATACAATGAGTCAGAAAAAGCCACATATTGCATGACTCTGTTCCTATGAAATGTTCAAAATATGCAAATCCATCAAGATAGAAAGATTAGTGATTGCCAGGGGCTGGGGAAAGTGAGATAGAGGCTTTGGGGTGAGAATATTCTAGAATTAGTGATTATGGTTGTACACCTTGTGAATATTCTAAAACTCAGTAAACTATCTTTCAAATAGTAAATTTAATGATATGTAAATTATATCTCAATAACTTGTGCAAAAAGAATGCAATATTTTTTTTTTTGTTTTATCCTCACCCAAGGAGCTGCTTATCAATCTTAGAGAGAGGGGAAAGGAGGAAGAAAAAGAGTGAGAAAAACATCAATGTGAGAGAGAAACATTGGTCAGGTGCCTTTTCTATGTGCCCCAACAGGAGGCTGAACCCACAACCCAGGTTTGTGTTGTGCCCTGACAGAGAATCAAACCTGTGATGTTTTGGTTTGCAGGATGACACCTGACCGACTGAACCATACTGGCCAGGGCTGTTTCTTTTTTTCTTTTTTTTTTAAATATGTGGGAATCTAACTTTAAAATTACACTCCTTCATTTTAAGGCATTTGATGAGTCACTTAGTAACATTCGTTATAACATTCATGGTTCTAAATTTGGTTGTCAAACTCCTTTTTTTTACAACTCAATACAAGATACACAAGGTATGTCTGGAAAAAGTCCAGCCATTGTTGATATAATGAGAATGGTTTGCATGACATCAATGTAACTTGGCAGCCAAGGAGAGGTCACTGTACTACGGCGACGTCACTATACCAGTCAGTGGGGGCAGTAGACACCATTCAGTGAGCATGTGTACTGTGTGGCCATTGCATTCAAAATGATTAAGAGAGTAGGGCAATGAATGTGCGTCGAATTTTTCATTAAGCTTGAACATTCCTCCACAGAAGCTATTTGGATGATTCAGAAGGCCACAGCTATGGACAACTGGTGATTGGCAGCTTCGTTATGACAATGTGCGTACTCATGTACCATGTCTTATGTGGTTATTTTTGAAACATCAAATCGCCCCAGTGATTCAGCTCCCCCTACAGCCCAGATTTGGCACCCTGAAACTTCTGGCTTTTCCCAAAACTAGATTCACCTTTGAAAGGCAAGAGATTTCAGACCATCAATAATATTCAGGAAAATACAACAGGGCAGCTGATAGTGACTGGGAGAACTGTGTGAGGTCCCAAGGTGCTTACTAGGAAGGGGACAGAGGCATCACTGTCCTATGCATAGTGTTTCTTTTCTTTTTTGAATAAATTTTATTGCTGTTCAAGTACAGTTTTCTATTTCTTCTATCTTTTTTATTTTTTTATATCTTATATCTTGTATCTTCTTCAGTAAATGTCTATTTTTCATATCACATGGCTGGACAGCCTCTGGACAGACCTGGTCTGTTCACTGGTATGCATGGGGCAGCTGCAGCGTTAGCGAGGCATGTAATCTGTTTAGGGCAACAGAGTTGCAAAACAAACTAAGTAAACTTGTTCCATTATTTTCAGTAGCTCTGATAGAAGTATTATCCCAGGTTGCTTTCTTTGACAAAATGCCTGGTTTCATAAGAGTGGGCCATGAATATACGCCACCCTTGACTGATTTCCATGATAGTCATTAGAGAGAGATTTTACAATTCTCTTAGAGTTGAAATTGTTTTTTTATCAGAAGAGGGCTTAAATTTTAGCTAAACGCCACAGCCCTCTGGGAAGTCCTTATATACTACACCAAGGAGAACAAGGAATAAAGCCCTTTTCACTTTTTTAAAGTGGCAGCATTAAATGTAAAATAAGGTAGCGAGTACAAATGCAGTAACTGCACAAACTGGAAACTAGTTATTGCCCTGTGTTATTTTTAAAAATTTATTGTTAAATAACTTCACTTAAGTACCTTTATACAGAATATAAACATTTCTACATTATAAAAATATGAGAGGAAAATGTGTCTATATTAGTAAATGACCTTATCTTGTCTTTCCCAAATGTATCTAGACTGAATAAATTCATGTATTTTCTAAATTCAGATGTGTGTGTCAGAAAAAAGTGATCAGGTCTACAGGTTTTACAATATGTATGTGTGTGACATGACAAAATTACACTCTATCCTGGAGTAAAGCTGACACATACAAGTCAGACGACTTTTAAATTTTATGGGTGTGTTAAAAAATAAATACTAATGAAGTAGCAGTTAGTGATTCAAGCAATAGATAAATGTCAGTGACTATTTTTAAAAACGAGAATCGACAAGAAAGAACGAGCCCGAACCTGCTTCATGGCCTCCACGCGCTTGTTGAGAGCTGTGGTCTGCTCAATCAGAGCCTCCGCGGCATCGTCGTGATCCCTCAGTCTTTCAACGAGAGCTTTCGCGTCAGCAAGGGCCTTTTCAATTGTGCAACTCATTTCTCAAGGAATACCTAAAATTAAAATGAAAATTAAGACTCAAAGCTAGGATGCCATCCTATTTTAGTTTCATATTCGCACACATACACTTCTGGAGCTACACTGGTTACAGGACTGTTCCTTCTCTGGGGAGGAAAAACACCCGCGGGGTTGCTTCTGTTAGGATGGCAGAAGCTTGACAGTGAATTTATATTTGAAAATATTAGACAATATGAAAGCAATCTGCAGACGTAATCAGAATATATGTAAAATACTCTGAATTTATCATGGGGAAGAAGTACACATACAATGAATACATTTTATATTATGCAGAAATTGTGCTCTTCATAAGGGCACTTTCTTTTCATTTGTATTAAATGTCACTGTTAGTCTGTATTCCGTAGTCAATCTAAGTATAAGATCCTTCCTGGCTTCTGCTTGGTCAGGTGGCCTGAGACAGTGTTCACACACACACACTACTGACCAGCTGAAACAGTGTTTGTGTGTCATGATAAATCAAGGTGTCAACCTTCCACTTGTTTCTTGTATCAAGTTGCATTAATTCCACTCCCGCCACCTATCCACCCAGCAATCACCAGCTTTTTCTCTACATCTATGGGTCTGTTTCTGTTGTTTATTCATTTATTTAGGGGATTATTTTTAGATTCCACATACAAGTGAAATCATGTATTTGTCTTCCTCTGTCTGACTCATTTAGAATGATACCCTCTAGGCCCATCCATATTATCTCAAATGGCAAGCTTTCATTCTTTTTTACTGTTGGATAATATTCCATTATATATAAAGAAGTGATACATGTATATCACTTCTTTATACATTTATCTATTGGTAGACATCTAGGTTGCTTCCATATCTTGTCTATTACTAGTAATGTTGCAATGAACATATGAGTGCGTGTATCTTTCCCAGTTAGTGTTTTGGGTTTTTCTGTTTTATTTTGATAAATACCCTCATATAGAATTGCTAGATTGTATGGCAGCTCTATTTTAATTTTCTGAGGAATCTCCAGACTGTTTTTCCTAGTGGCTACACTAATTTACAATCCCAGCACAGTGTACGAAGGCTCCTTTTTCTCTACATCCTCATCAGCACTTATTGTTTGTCAGTTTATAGCCATTCTAACAGATGTAAGGTGATATTTCATTGTGGTTTTTAATTTGCATTGTGGTTTTAGTATTACTGATGATTAGTAATACTAAGCATCTTCTCATGTTTATTGGCCATCTGTATATCCTCTTCAGAGGAACATCTAATTCAGGTCCTTTGTCCATTTTTTAATTGGATTGCTTGTTTCTTGTGTGTGTTAAGTTGTATAAGTTCCTTATGTATTCTGGATATTAACCGCTTATCGGATGTATCATCTGCAAATATGTTCTCTACTCAGTAGGTTGTCTTTCGTTTTGCCAATGGTTTCCTTTGCTGTGCAAAAACTCTAGTTTGCTGTAGCCCCGTGTGTTTAATTTTCATTTTGCTCTTGCTCAAGGAGACACAGCCAAAAAGATACTGCCGAGAGCAGCATCAAAGTGTTTACTGTCCATGTTATCTTCTAGGAGTTTTATGGTTTCAGGCCTTACTTTAAGTCTTTCATCTAGTTTGAGTTTATTTTTGTATATGGTGTAAGAAAATGTTCCAACCTTATTTTTTTTTCATGTGTCTGTCAAGTTTCCCCAACACCACTTACTGAAGAAACCAAAGGATTTGTCTTCTAAAATTGGAGAGGTTAAATAAGGGTATTTGGAAATAGGATTAGCAAAAAACCAAAACAAAACAAAACAAACAACAAAACCATTAGTGGAACCAATGTCCCAAACGGATTAAAACACAAAAGGACAATTACCCAAAATCTGTCCAAGATGCTGCTATAAGAGAGACATTAGTGTCCAACAATGCCCTGTCCTTCTCTAAACTTCAAGGGGGAATTATCTTAAAAGGGTGGGGGGCAGTGGGTAGGGCAAACTGGCTTGCAATAAGTAAAAAATAAAGTAAAAACAAAATATATTTGTTTTACAATCAAAATAACTGGTTATAACACATGCTGAAAGTGATTTAAAAAACTAATTTGAAAGTCTACAGAAAATTGTAAAAGACTTGAGATACAGTTTATCTTGTATCTATCTATACAATTTAATAGAACAACTCAAGTACTAAAATTTCTAACAATCCCAGGTCTCAATCTGTAAATGGTATTATTGGGGTCACTATCAGAAGAATACTTATTTATGCTCTGTAATACAACATCTATGAGTTTAATAAAAGGATGTTTCCAAATAAAATTCACTAAGGCTGCTATATACGATCAGATGATAGGTGATTTAGACATGACCCACAGAGTATAAAATTCAGTAAGCTACAAAACCAAAAACACCTGTGCTTCCAGAATCCTCTGGGCAAAAGAATCCATAGGCATAGATTAACTGGAATTGAGCCCTGAACTGAGATGCAGCCTTCCTAGATAATCATTCATCTTTCTTGTTTTTGAAACATGAAGAGGTTATGCTGTGTTCTGGGGATATTAACTGAACAACATGGCACCTAAGACCCACTGCCTGTTAAATCCTAAGCCTTAATTCGGTAGCTAAGGCTTAGCCTCCTTCTCTCAGTAATGGACCTCCTCCACTAAATCATCTTCGAGCTTATACAAAGTCCTTAAGCCTAATGTTACCACATTGTAGCAAATCCCTATTGCTAAAGGAAACCACCCTAAAATTTCTCCTAGCTGAACAATTATGAACTATTGTTACTTTCTCCTTTCATATTATCACCCACTGGAGTAACACTGTTACTCCAACAACCCTCCCTATTGAAAGAAAACCTTATGATCGTGTTTTCACAGATCAGGAAGTGCCCAAGCTCAAATTTTGAATTCTCTAGTACCAAGTCATGACTTTACTGTCTGTTAGTGAATTTTATTTTTTAAATTTATTTACTGATGAGAGAGAGAGAGCAAGAGCGAGAAAGAGAGAGAGAGAGAGTGTGAGAGAAAGAGATCAATTTGTTGTTCCATTTTATCTATTGGTTGTTTCTGGTTTGTGCCCTGGCCAGGGATCAAACCTGCAACCTCAGTGTATTCAGAAGATGCTCTACCCAACTGAGCTACCCAGCCAGGGCATGTTAATGACTTTTATATTAAACACAAAAGGTGACAACAGATACTTCAGTCACTCTGATACAATTAAATTTCTTATGAGAGGTCAAAATGATCAAATGACTTAACTGTGACCTTCTACGACAGAGCAACTTGCTAAAATAAGAGTAAATTTATGTACTCATAGTTGGATCATTGATAGCTGGATGCTACCTAAAACAATAAAGGTAGACACAGACAATCTTTTTTTTTTGGTAAATTCATAGTATCTGTAGAATTTCTACAGTATCTATAGAATAGTAAATTCACAGTATCTATGGAATTTACTATACTATAGATACTATGAAGCTATTTTAAAATACTCTATAAAAATTGCTTTGACTAAAAGTCTTTATGCAAGGGCCTCGTATAACACAAGAAAATCATAACAAATCCATGGAGAAGTTAAAAAATTCCATCAGACACACAAAACCTGGCCTGACAAATTCTAAAAAGAAACATGGGGTGACCAAACTGTAAAATCCATAAGAACAACCACTATGAGAATATCAGTAGGAAAAAAATTAGCCACAATATTAAATACTGATGGGAAAATGGGATGGATAGCAAAGGATGTGACCCAGTGTATACCTTATGATTTGTGAATAAATTAATCTGAAAAAATTGTGAAACTGAAGCAAGGGCTAAAACCATTCTTAAAAATTTTTTCTAACATATTCCACTTGATTTAATAGGGTAACCTCTCTCTATGGTTTAAGAATATGTTTAATAATATAGTAGTATGTTTCTGTTATGAATGGGTTGAGAAAGTCCTCTGGGGACAACTGTAATTGAACAATAAAAAATAAAAATTAAAAACATTTAGCCCTGGCTGGTGTAGCTCAGTGGATTGAGCGCCTGCCTGCGAACCAAAGGATCGTGGTTCAATTCCCAGTCAGGGCACATGCCTGGGTTGCAGGCCAGTTCCCAGCAGGGGACGCACACGAGGCAAATCACACATTGATATTTCTCTCCTTCTCTTCCTCTCTAAAGATAAATAAATAAAATCTTTTAAAAATTTTTTTAAAAAGAAAGAAAAGCCATAATACTCACAATGGTTAAAATACTATTATACTTCGTGTCTCTACCAAGGACATTCATTGATCAAGAAATATGAAAATATATTTAACTACAAAAATTATTATTTTTCCTTTTTCTTTTTCAGTTTTTTAATCCTCATCTTAGGATATGTTTATTGATTTTAGAGAGAGAGAGGAAGGGAGAAAGAGAAAAACACTGATGTGAGAGAGAAACATTGGTCCTTGGCGCCAGACTAGGGATCTCACCCACACCCTGGGTGTGCGCCGACTAGAAATCGAACCAGCAGCCTTTTGTGTAGAGGATGATGCTCTAACCAACTAAACGACCAGAGAGAGCCAGAACAAATTTTTTATGAATT